ACACAAAAATGAGGAGACACTGTAGCACTGTAGCAGGTGTCCCAAACCTCGCCTGCTATTGCTCGAGCGCGAGTGCTTCCAAATTCATAGACACAACATGCTTGCGCCGCATCAGGGCTTCTAGCCCGCCCTGGCTCACAAGGCTCAGGGTTTTATCGGGCAAAGCCCCTCTCCCAGTGTGAGTCTAGTGCAGTAGGTTAGAGTTAGACTTTAGAAGTTAGAAGCCTATGGAAGGCACGCAGATTGCAGTTCGAGACTTCCAACGTGAATGAAGTGGTGAAGACCGAGCGAACATGTCAGGCGATTGCTCGGAGTGGAGGGTACCGAGATCGAAGAGGAACACTGGGGAGTATGTTGTGAGAGTTGCAAACATTCTCGGCGATTAGGGCGGGAGCTTCAAGCATCTTCCGGGCCGGTCTTTGACAGGCCGCACCGTCGACGAATTCTTTGTCCAACTTTGGCAGTCGCGAGTGGCGAGCAGGCCGAATTCCGCCCACTTGACGATTACATCAGGAGCCGTTAAGGACATAGGTTGCCATTACTTCCAGGAAGCCGCAGGCTTGGCCAGCCAAGCGCAGATGTCAGTGCATTCAACAAAATCGTAGCAACATGAAGCACGGTTGAATTACTTGTTATCGGGATGCAGAGGATGGATAATGGGACTTCTGCTTTTGTTTGATCTGTGCTTGCCAGGCCATGTCCAGCGCTAATTGCACAGCAGTACGTAGGATTTGCCGTGCTTGCCTGTAGTAGCCAGCTGCGCTGCTGCAAAGCCTTTAGTATGCAACAAGCATTGTAGCCAACATCTGGGAATTTGACGATCAGAGTTTCTGAAGAGCTATAGCTTCAGTGGTGAAGACTGCCGGTGCGACCCGGCATGATGCTGTTGTCAGAGCATCTTCACCATGTAGACCAACACGCACTCTGTGCCCATCACGAAAGTAGCAACGCCTCGCGTCATTTTCTCTCGAAATCTTGCTTGTTGCTTGTGACCTTGTTCAGCAAAACTCACACATCACCTAAAAGGAACCCATAGCTTCCGACACTGATCCAGAGCGTTTAGCGGTCTCGAAGCTGTCAAGCCTGAGAGCTTCTAAGAGAAGAGCTGGCGAAAGTTCCGACAGGTGCTGCGTGATGGTAGCTTGCCCAAGCTGCCGCCTGGTCCTCGTAGCAGCTGGCTTCTTCAAGATTGGGCCGAGTCTCAAGTAGCTTATCACCAGGCCCATGCAGCGGTCTTTACAGCCTTGGCCTCGTTGAAGTTCAACGCAACACTGCTGGGTATTGCTTGGTACTGTAGCATGGAGCGCAGGTTCAGGATGCTGCCTAGGACGGGTTGGACATGTGTCACCCACGAATTGACGAGAGAACCTCTTGAAACTATTGTTAGGAACAGAGAGTTTCTAGGAAGCGGCGCAAGTTGGCCAGAACAATCTCCTGTGAACTGGACTCAACCGACCACGATTTTGTGCCTCATCTGGCAAGCATGGCCGCTTCCCCTCCTGCCTGAGGAAAGCCACATGTCAGAAAGCAAACGCGTTTCGGCACGCTAGCCTCGCCGAGGTTATTTACCACACAGCTCCAAACCGTAATCAACCAATTAGCCTCGTCTGGCCAGTCCGAGTTGCGAGAGCGTAATCAACCAATTAACATTGAGTTAGCTGGCGGTCTGTGCAAAAATACATGCAGCAAAAATCGCAGTTGCAGCGCTATTGTGTCAGAGCTAAAATCTGCAAGCGACTTCTCAAGTGGTGCCATGCTTGCCGGCTCCTTGTTCGCCGAGTCTGCTTAGGCCAAGTCCAAGTTTACCTCTTTCGGTGTGCATCAGGCGCCGTGTTTGCTGTAGCTGCGAAGTAAGCCAGGCCTCAGTGAATGGTTTCAACTCGCATGTATTTATTAAGCACTGGCCTGGCGCTCAAGTCGCACCCATGCTTGCACTGACCCAGCGATGTCAGGGTTCTGTACTTCGCACACGATGGCACCCAGGCGGAGCTGGCAAATAACAAGCTAGTGAAGTGTAGCATGCAATCGAAGCCAGGCCGATACCGGTAACTTGCTGGAGCTTCAAGTCTCCACCTCCACGACCTGTGAGGCAAGACGGAAACGTGAACTGTTGTCTTGTGTGCTGGCCGCGCCCCGGCGTTGACCTGTTCATCAGGTCTTGCTGCGGCACGTCCGTGAAGCGGTGGGCTGCGGCGAGAAAGGCCGCCTGCTATTCCGCGTTGCTTGGCGGCATCAGGAGATCGACGGCAAACAGAACTGTGAGAGTCCCACCCGGGAATGGAGGCTGCATCGAGCCAGCTTGAAGCAATAGTCAATCTGTGAACCCAGCAGCTCCAGCTTGCTAGAAAGATTGATAGAACTGTTTCTATCAGCTTGGGCGTACCACTTCATCAGTTCCATGACAGGAATAGCGCGAGATTTGTAATTACGTCCGGTGTGGCCAGCTGGTGGGCGAAAGGCTCTATTTTAGCATCTTCCAAGTCTATATAGTGGTGTGTGTTTGTGTGCGCACGTCATACATCCTTGTTATGTTCGAACGTTTTCTACAATGCTATGCAGTGCTGCCGCACATCTCGGCAGCATCTCGAGTTGCTCAGAGAGATATTGCCGAAGCTGTTCCCACCCATCACATGCGAATACATCCATCGGCGCCGCTCGTATGAGAGGCCACACTGCCTACGCACTAGCACTAGCATCTCACAAGCAGTATAGGCATGAAGCTGGCAAGTGGAAAGAACATGACGGGTATGATGTGTGTTTTCTCCCAGATGCGCCCGCTCGATGCCAATGCCACGTTGGAATCGTGCTCAGCGTGAAAGATGCCTGAGCTTGCACGTGCAGTCCGGGAGGCCAACTTGCCATGTGTTGCCGTGAGGAAATGAGCGGCATCCACAAGGATCCCAAGGCGATAAACTCACCGCACTGATTATGTGCGCATTTGTAAACTGTCAATGTGATCTCTCGGGCGAGATTTTGCGAGAGGCGTTGCACTTCCTGTTGAACCGGAAGCATCGGCCGCCTGAGGCGGACCCCTCAGTAGAGGAGAAATTGTCTTAGCTTCCTGTTGATTATCATCCTTTCCTACCTTTGTCTCCTGCTTGGGGTCTTCATTCGGGAGGCGCCGAAAAAGAGGCTGGCCAGTTTAACCCTCTCTGCCTACATTCACTCCCCTCCGTCATCGGGTGACGTGACAAATTGCAACGCGACAGAACTTTCAGACCTCTGGACCTGAGGTGGTCGAGCGTGCGAACCGTGAGGAGGGGCGTGTGTGTGTGTGTGTGTGTGCTGCGAAGCCATGTACGCATGAGTGGCCATCCCTTCAAGGCTGCTGAGCTGTCGGCAGTTGCGGCCTTAGCTCAGGGACAGCAAAGGTCAACGCATCAAGCCTTCAGACTTTCAGCTTTCTCCAGGCCATGGCTGTGGCTGCTGCCGAAGCAGCGGCGCGGCCCCGCCGGCGGAGGCCAAAGCCCAGTGACGTTCTGGGAGAAGCCGGTGATGATCTGTGATGACATCCCTGAGCGGAAGCACTCCTCTCGAAGCCGTTTGCCGGGCAAAACCCTGTTGTAGGCTTTGTTCCCTGCGTGAACATAAAACGGAAGACGAGAGGCAAAGCCCAAGACCTGTGTCCGGCGGCTCAATGCAGAGTCCAAGCCTGAGCAGTGCTTTTCTCGGACCGTCGCCAGTCTGGAGTGTGCTGTTCTCGATCCTCAGCGGCTCAGGTGACCCACCTCAGCTTACATGATTGCTGACCAAGTCAGCACAGGCAGCCTTCGCTTCGGCTAGATCCTGAACATGTGTCAGAGCATCTTGTAATATACTGCATGCTCTATATCTATTCTGTCATGACCAGCTGTACAGATATGCGGTCAGACGAATTTGGCCTGATATGGCGCCAGAGCTCGAGACGTGTGATATCGCACAGCTCGAAAAATCATGGTAAGGCGGAATCACCACGACGCAGGCGCATAGAAGCTTCCAACCTGTAACATGTCCGATTGAGCATCGCAGAATCACTGACCCTGAGGCCAGTGTGGCTCTCGCTCAAGGCCTTGCCTGCACCCTTGCAAACCCGGGAGGACAAGCACTCGGACCAAATCTGTAAACTGATCATAGTGCAGGGCTTAGAGCTTGTTCGAAGCTAATCTTCGCGCTTTCGCTTTGTAGCCTGGCCATTTTCCGGCCATGCCATTTGGGCGCTTGCTTCGGAAACGCGTTTGCTCGCGATTCCGCAAGTTCGGCAAGGCGGGGTCTTCCGAGTCTTCCGAGTCTTCTGTCTCTCTTGCGGTTCAACTGGCGCATGTCTCCGAACAACACGCGATGCTGCACGGCGCAAGGCTGGGCTGCACGGCGCATGAGGCCGCCCAGCTTCTGACGACGTACGTCGTACGTCGATGTCGAACAAGCTCTGGGATTAGAAGAAGGTGCTTCGTCTATGCCGGCCGATCCCTGGCCTTTGCCAAATCCGGGGCCCAGCAGCGGAAGCTTTGATTTGTCTGCGCCCCGGAGCTCAGCGCCATTCCTGTCTGGGAGAAAGGCCTCGTTCCCTGCGCAGGGTGGCACCCGATGAGGGACTGGGAGCCGGCACAGGCCCGGCCTCCTGCGTTGCAACGCTTTGAGAACAAGACGCTTACGCACAGGCATCAGCAGACAGGTGCAGGGAGTGACCCGGCCGCCTTCAGTTGCCAGGTGTGCCAGCGCCTGGGTGTCGATGTCGCATCTAAGGATGTGCCTGTTTCGGATGCGGAAAGGAGTCCTAGGCTTGAGACCCAGAGCTCCGATCTGGTTGACGTAGTTGATCCCAGTCGTGATGCAGGACCAAGCGCGCCCCGAAGGAGCCTTGTGTTGACCTGGCAAGATGAGCATGGGTTCTCCGGGGTCAGGGTCGTCGATGCACAGCGCCTTCAAATCTCGTTTGCAGTTGGCAGGAGATGCCACTGCGCTTCAGGTCGCTTGAAGAGATTGCTGGGTTTTCGTGGAATGCAGGCCTATGCAACAGTAACGTTTGGTTTCAGCTTGCAGGTGCAGTATCTGTGGGACATGCATTGCCTCGTCGCGGCCCTAAGATGGGGCAGCGCCAAAGGTTGCCAAGGAGCTGCTTTTCTTTGGTCAGCGCTACTCGTACATGTAGTGCCTGAGAGCGGCTGGCAGAGGTCGGAAGGCTTCGTAGAGGCCAGGGATGATTCCTTCGTGCAGGGAGCTCAGTTGAGAGTTTTTCGTAAGCCGAGGCGGTGTCCAAATTCTGGATTTCTTCATGCCACGTATCTCGTCAGTTGTGTACCTGCACGCGCTCTCCGAAGGTTTCGCAGCTTGCAGCCGGGCGGCGGAGAGGCAGTCGAAGCCGAAGGGGCCAACTTGGCACAGCCGGAGACCTTCCTTGAGGCTGCCGGCCGTGTGGTCTGCCGTGAATGCGACCAGGCCCTGGGCTTCAGGACGGCCAAGACTGTGAGTCGCGTGACGGCGATTCAAGAGCCTCTTGACCAGGAGCGATGGCTTGTTCTTCCTGCGAAAAGATGCTGTCGAGCAGAGGCGCTACGGAGATCATGCGAAGTGATGCAGACGCCAACTAGCTTAGCACTGGTGCAGGGCCGAAAAGCTGGAAGTCTTGGTAACTCTGCCATGTTTCTGCATTTGCCAAAACTGGTCACTTAACGCCAATCTTGACAGAACGGTCTGCGGAGAGAAGCTCGAGCAAAGAGAGATGTGATTCCTCGCTCATTCCCGTTTGCTTTTCATCGGTCCAGTGCTGCAGGTCTGTAGCTTGAAGCTGCAAGAGATCAATGATGTGAGCACGGTGCCCGGAGCATTTCGAAAGTTATATAGGATCGATTTCAGCCGAACCTGGACGAACCTTTCTAAGGTCCTGTGCTCACGGACATCTTTCCTTACAGTAGCGTGAGGATCTCGGAGTTGTAATGTGGGTGCTTGTTGCAACAGCGCCCTGCTGGAAATTAGGGGTGGACAGTCAATCCCTTGCGACTCGTTTCATTCGTAAGTTCGGCTCGGTCGCACCAAAACGCTCCCCAAGCACTCCGAAAACTCGCCAAAGCACGGTGGAAGTGGTTTCACAACCAATGCCTGGCCATACCCTTTGGCTTGATTCTCATCGCTCCCGTCCGGACCGATGCTGCAAGTATATGCAATAGTGAAGTGTGGTGGCAGATGGCTTCGGGCAGGTGGCACTAACGAACGGAGAACCATTTCATGGATCACGGAGTTTGTCGAGATTCATCTAGCCTGTGCCCGCAACCAGGTGACGGATATGTTCCCCTGTAGGAGCAAGCGCACATGCCTTCGTAGCTGCATGCTGAAACAAGCCAGTTCAATGGAACAGACAACCGTTATGTCGCAGACAGCAATTCTCCTAAAGCAGAGCTGATGTGACATGCTTCGGAACCAAGGTGCAGGAACGACTGCTGCAGAAAGCAGAACTGCGTGGATTTGCGTCTCTCCCAGGAAAGCCATACACCCAGAGACTCTCAGAGCCACAACGTTTCTGTCATGCGAAAACCCGGCCCCGTCGGGAATGATACTGACTAATGTAGCTCTAGGCCGGACTTCGTGGTGGTGGTCCACCGCAACGAAGGTCCACAGCCCACAGCCTCCGTTTATCGCTGTCGGGCCGTGAGGCTGTATCCAGTGTGCAATGTTGAGGCCGCGCTTTGCTCACAGACCGCAACGGCTTCTACCACGATGCTGCATCTCAGAATCCCAGAAGATGGACTGCTGTTGGGCATGCCCACTTGTTTTGTTGGAGTTAGGTGCTGGGATGTGCTTACAGACAGACCCGCGGGAACGTGCTGGTGTGACCGGCTGTGTCTGGATTTGGCGCTTGTCTTCGGATGTCGTTGATTGAACCGTCATCGGCCTCTTTCTTGTTGTCTTGGCGCATCTGGATTTCAGTGGTCACATTATGTGGCCAGGTAGTCCTGACCCGTGCGGAGCCGAAGGCGGGCACGATAACATGACCATTGCGCGAGACTTCTTCGGGAAAATTGAGGAGCTTTGGAAACTCTTTTACTCGTCACAGCCTCATTTCAATGGCAGGCGGAGGCGGACTTGTTTGACAAAGTCATGCTGCGGTCACTGCAGCGAGCCTAGTGAAGTGAGCCTCGCGTGTGTGGCTTCTTGGCATTCAATACGCTCATAATTGCAGGCTATCGAGCTAAGCTACACCCGAACAGGTGCCCCCACAGCAATTGTGCGCGGAAGATGCAATCCCTGCCCCAGTTTGTCGCCGAAACAGATTGATGGAGGGCTGCTGGAAGGAAATCGCAAAACTAAAGATGATGCGCTCCGTGGGATGATGCGTCGTTGCAACCTGGAGGGAAGTTCAGTCTCGATGGCAAGAAGGACTGCTCCCACACAATGCAATGACTGGCAATGCCTTGTTGAAGAGAGGCCATGCTCCCCATTGAGCTTCAAAAGGTGATGCGCCGCCATATTATGAAGTTATCAGGAAAAGTTGATCCTGCGTGGCGACAAAACGGATCAGGATCATCTCCGTCCTGCAGCCCATCAGTAGACTTATCCTCATCATTCAACATTTTTTTGTGCAGCACAGTCGGTGCAGACATCAAGTTGGATTGTCATGCTGTGCCTAGTTAGAGTATTAGGATTCGGACATATTAGGGGGCAGTACCCCTCGTGTTCATACACTTCAGTTACGTCCTTGGCATGTGACTGTGCATGTATACGACGTGGCCGCTGTTCCAGCTCCAGACAAATCAAACTACGGACGAGCATCGAGTTTGGAAGCTCATGCATGCGTGTCCGAGGTCGACAAGCGGAGACCAACCCACAATTGGCGTATTGAGCGGACTGGGGCAAGTTCTCTCGTGATGTGCTCAGTGACCCCTACACCGTCGACCTTTCATTTGACTTGCAAACGTTTTTGGTCTTGTAAACCGAGCTGCGAAATACTGCGAGATGCACCGCATCCCAAATCCCTGCACCAATGCCGATGCCAATGGGGTTGCCGGCGAAGCTATTTTTCTTTGGATCATGCTCCGTTGACATTTGCCGAGCCTTCAGTCCTGGGGGGTGCAGGGCAAAAGCCGACTCGCTCAGCTACTGGACAGAGTGTCGGAGCGTCTGTGAATGTCTGTGAGATGATTCGTATCGTGTGACACGTTCTCAGATGGGGGACCGCGCCCTCTGCAACGCAGCTCCAGCAGATCCTGGCGTTGATGACAAGGGCGTGCCTTAGCTGCAGGTGTGAGTCCTTCCATCCCTGCAAACTGTAGCAACTCTGAACGCAAACATACATGCGGACATGTGCGTGTCATGCTTGAGTCATGCTGTCATCGAGCGGCAGGAAATCGTGTGAAGAGTAAGCTCCTGTCTTGCTCTGTCCGACGTAGGCTGAGGCAGATGTCTAGCCCAAGCAATCGCGCAGGTACTTTCGCGAGCCTGGCCAGGCCGGTCCTGCGAAAAGGGCTGTTGAAAGATGTTGGAAGTCTCCGCCGCTGCTTTTGCATCGTGCATCCTGCTCGCAGTTGTGAGGCGTCCGTCGGCATCCCGCCAAGCTGGACCAAAATGTCGCCAGCCGTCTCAGCTGTTCAAGAGATCGTGTGATGTCGTATGTCCTTCAAGAATGGTTCCTGTCACCTCAGGAAGTCCGGCTCCACTTGGTGTGCCCTATTGTGAGTTGTGAAGGATGAAGCGATGAGATTTTCCGCAGTCGTTTGTTTCACCCGACGTGCAAAAGTCACCTCGAAGTCGCCCAAGCATTGCCAAGATTTCGGTGAACGTTGGAAAACGGCATCTTGGCACCCCGTTCTATTTTTCAGCTGTGCTTTCACGGTCTTTTCTGTTGAAATTGTGCGGCCGGTCCAAGGCTGTGCTTGCATCATTGTAAATTAACAAACCTGTCCTTTTCGATTGTCGACGTGGTTTAGGACGCAGGTTTGAGGATGCTAAGATGAAGTGCATGTGGATGGCTATGACTTATTCGGAACCAATGTAGTGCTGGCAAATGGGCACCGTTGTTTGCAGCCGATGCTCTGACACAGGCAGGACATTTGTGGAATGCCCTCAGATCGGATCAAATAGACAGACAGAATCCCAGGTGACTCCGTGCCCAAACCATGGACAACTTGGACCTGGGGGGTCTTGACCTCAAGTGCCTTTGTTACACCTCCGTGATTGTTACGTGTGTGTGCGCGCGGGAAAGCGCCACCAAGTGACCAAACGTGGAGCCGTGTCAAGCCTTCCCCTGTGGCTATATTTCGGCCTGCCGCTATCATTGCGCATAGTTCGGGATTGTCCGTACTGTTCGCAAATTTGAAAAACCCCCTGACACCAGCATTTCGGGGCTTGTTTTGCGGAGGCGCACGGACAAAGACTTGCATTACCTTGGCGACCATATGCTACAAGTAGAAGAAGCTGTCAAACCCCAGACAGGAAGATTGTCCTGTGGACGGAGTGTAGTCACAGGGAGGCACTCCAATCGAAGCCAGTTCTGCATCTCTTGGCATCAGCATCGGCGAAAAGTTCCGAAAGAGTTGTTAGCTGGGACCCTTGACCTGATTAATTTGATTTTCCAAACTCGGTGCAGCTTCTGCAAAGGTTCGACGTGCTATGCTCGTGTGGCATGCTTCGTTTCCACACCGGGACTTAAATCGCAAAGATTTCCGCGTTTTCAAACGACTCTATCGTTGTGATATTGGAAGACAATGAGATCTTTTGCCTTCTTGAGACTGTCGCGCCGTATGGGCAGACAAAAGCCCCAATGCATTGGACCCGCGAAGTTCCGGCAGAAAATATGTGAACAATACTGCCTCCGATCTGTACATGATTGTACGTGTCGGGCAATCGTGCCCATGCTCACGCGGTGGAATCGACAAAAATCATCTTCCACATCACACTGCAATATCATACACGGCCGAGCATCTCGCTCGGTCACCATCGGAATCTGGGATGCGGGGATAGTTTCTTGGACTACCTGACCTTGGAAGTACTAGGCTGTTGGTCGCCGCTGTCATATGTTGCTGCACAGCGCTCGCCAACGCTGCTGTCGTGTGCAGGGCAACGAACTGCTTCAAAGTTGTGTGGAAGATTCCGCAGGCGAACGAGAGCGTAATGTTCAGCGAGGACGGGCAGAAGGATTCTGTAGACATGTACGTAGACACTCCCATGTTGGCAAGGAGGATCTGGTTGTTGCCCGGGCGGCCACGGCAACTGGCACGCTTTTGGATGGGCACTCAGCCAAAAGTTGCTGAAGACGACTGTGCTTGAAAGGACAACAAGTTCCCATGGCATACGAAGTTCAAGAGATCGTGCACAAAAGTCTTCAACGGTGCCCCTGTCCGCCCTCGCCCTGAAACTAAATGTGCTGACTGCAGAGCTGTGGCATCAAGAACACCTCTTGTCTACCCAGTGGCTGAATGCTCCATGTGTGAACAACAGAGTAAGCCGCGCTCTTAAGCAAAAGAGCTGCGTGCCAGTTTCTAACCAAAGCCGCTACAAGCAATGTCAGTTGGCAATTAAGCACTGTGTAGTGAACGGCGCTGACGGCTTGTTTTCTGGAGCTACAGGTAGCTCAGCATCTGGATCTTGTGTCAGATGCCGTTTCATATTCATGGCAGTTGTGATGTCAGGATCAGCTCCAAGGCAAGTGGGTTCGCCAGGCCAGCCGGCTTTGCATCGTTCTTCGAGCCGCTTGGGCCGGTGGCTGTTGATCGTAGGATGGCTTCTTCATGGGCGTGCTCACGAACGGCCTGAAGCTCTCGTCGTTATGCCGTCCATGTGCAAGACGGCCAGTTGCAGCGCGCTTTGCAGTCTGTGGTTTCGATGGCTGAGGCCGCCTTCGATGGGGTGAAGCCTTCCGAGGTGACTCTCAGAGTCTGCTGGAAGAGGCCGGGCCCAACAAGGCCCGACGCTCCGGGGTTGCAGAAGATCACGTAAACCGGTAAGTCAGATCGCACCTTCCACGGCCTTCCCGGCTTAGCTACAACTTGGCGATGATTGAGTGTCTTCTGATAGCTCCTGGCATCTGTACGGCCTTGATTTCAAGAAAAGTTGAGTTCCTCTTGGCTTCCTCCAAGTCCGCGACTGCCTTGGAGGTGCACCTCCGACTGGCCGGCGAGGTCCACGAAGGAAGTGTTTACGTAGGCGCGCGATGCATGATTCATTTTCTGTTCCCGTGCTTTGTATTTATATATATATATATATATACATTTTATATAATATAAAAATAACCCTACCTCCCGACAATGAGCTGATTCAGGCCGTCGCATGAGCATCCACTGGGCAGACGGTGCGCCAAAGCAGTTGCTTCATGCCGTCGCAGTCTACACTGCGATGTCAGTCCTGTCAGTCGATGTGTCTGCGGTCCAAGTGCTATGTCAGCGGCAAGAAGTTTAATTGATAAATATGGCTCGGCTCCGAGCTTGGCATTTACACAGCAGCTACGTAAACAGGATTGACGAGCCAGTGAGTGGTTGCTGCTTACATCTCCTCGTAGTTAGCAATGACCTGCCGGCCGTCCCTTGAGCAGAGCTGCTTGACTTCCCAACTGACTTCGCTGCCAGGCGAGATCTGGTTCCTGGATGCATAAGCCGTCTCCCGAAGCTGCTGTTTATCAGCAGTCCTTTAGAATGCAAGCCAAATTCGAGCACGTGGAAAAATCTGTTGCGTGTTGCTGTGCTGGGGGCAGGCCTTTGGGATGTGATCTCACGGGCTTCGTGCGAAAGCATGGAAGCATCAAAGATCATCAAAGCATCCAGCATTGACGCCGCATCAACTTCCGCCCGTGTACAGCCAGTTCGGCTCCGCTGCAAGGGAGACGCGTGAAGTGTAGGTACACAGGTGCGTGGCGTGCAGAGGCAACCTGCCTTGCGTTGGAATACTACAGTTAGGAGCGGGAAGCTGATCGACAACTGAGAAAGCTGGCTTCTCATCGTCAGGCTGGAACCAATTTTCCCGCGCGCCCCTCGCAGACCGGCACAATGCAGGCTGACTTGGGTCTTGGTTCGTGAACGGAGATGGGGCGCAGTCCGCAGTCAGTCGAGAACTGCGAGTCTGCGAGTGCCAGGCTCAAATGGGGCGCTTCCCAGGCCCATCCACTTGTGTGTTCGGCGTCCGCTACAGCAGCTACAGCATGGTACATTTCACATTCGTGGAGGATACGCTGGTTTCGGCGGCGGATGCGGTGGCTATGCGGACGGATTTGGTGCTTATGCCGGGATGTACCCCCAGGCCAGGTGCAGCAGCGGAGAAAGTGGGGGTGGCACAGATGCCCGAAGTGAATCCTCTCTTCAGGTAACTTGTGGGGGAGTGGAGCGACAGAGCCATGGAGTCTTCGGAGTTTGATTCTCGTCAGGCCAGCTCCACATGGGCCGGGGGCTTTCTGTGCAAGTGAAATTCGGCTCTGGCATGTGAACTTCCCAGTCGACCTCCGAGGTGCCGAACTTTGGAAAAGGCCACGCCGGGGGTCCATGGCAGTGCCACAGCGAGAGAGCCGAAGGGCGAATAGCATAGAGAGCGGAAGAAGGGGGTGGGCGTTTTTTTGACAGGAAAAGGCGAGGGCCGAGGTCGAGGCGGCAGCGACAGAGGAACAGCCCAGTCCCAGTCATGTGTTCAGTCTCTCCAGGCAAGGGAAAGGGCAAAGGAAAGGGCTACGGCTACAAAGGAGCTTGCTCCTCAGCTACGGCTCCGCGCCGTGAGACGTGTAAGTGGCGTCTCGCACCTCCGCACCAGAGGCCCGTGATTGGGACGAGAGCTTCAGCCTCAGAATCGTGCTTGCGAGGTGGCTGCAACTGGCCCAGCTGAGGTGATCCGCGTCGTCAGATAGAGCTTGCGCAGCTTGGATCTCAGTGCTCGGCCGGGAGGTTTCTGTCAAAAGGGCCGCAGCTTGGAGCTCAGCAACTGAGATGGCCAGTGGACTCCCAAAGCCCGGGTCCACAGGCTTGCGATTTTCCAGGTCTCGTGCGGCAACACCCTCCGCCCCACAAGCGACAAGAAGGGTGAGCTGAGACGACAGCCAAAATCACTGGGATGATCGCGGCAGGTCTTTCACAAGCTTGCAGTCAAGAAAAGTTCTGATAGTCTGCTGGAAAGGGATGACACGGGGTGGATTCTTGATGATACATGGCACTACTTTTGATTTTTCTCTCCAGCAAGGCGTCGAGCCAAGCAGCGGGATCAGTCAGCCATCAGTCAGGCGAATCCGCCGTAGGACGTAGAGCAGAGCGAAGCTGTGCAAAGTTGCGGGAAGAGCTTTCCGACAGGCCCAGCGCTCTGCGCAGCTGCGTTTCGAGAAAGATCTGCTGGACAGGGTCCAGGCTCCCTGACGTTGCATGCCACGCAGGGATTATTGTGACTCACCCCTGCAGCCTTCCAGGGCAGGTGGATTGACGAGGAGGATCCAAGTGTGACCTATGTCGTGGAGGCAGGAGCTCTCGCGATTGTGGTGACGACCCGGTCGACCCTGTTGCAACTCCGGATTCAGGGCGGTATTTGTGCTGTTTCTGGCGGCGAAAACATACGGACCTTCCGAAATCGGCAGGGGCCCAATGTAAGCTCCCGCCTTCAGCAATTCAATCCGTGCTGGTGCTCAGAGTGGCTGCAAGAAGTGTAGGCTGAGCGTCTACGGTGGCGAGCTCTGCTGGGACGCAAGAAGGCAGAAGTGCATGTTAGTGCAAACTCCGGATTTGCTGCCTCGAACGTGGCTTCACACTGGCAGATTCTGGCACAACCTGAACTTCAGCGCTTTGCCTCCTCCGGAGGAGGAGGCTGCTGATCTGTAAATGGTTGCTCAGAGGACCTGCGAGGTTTAGATCTTGGGTCCTTTTAGGTTGAAGTGCAGAAGCCAGCAGATCTCAAAGCCGGAAGCCACAGGTGAACAGAGTTGAGTGGAACCCGGCGCAGGCACCGGGATGTGTGTATGGAATGCAAAGTGCTGTTGCCTCCTGTTTGGTTGCAAAATCCTGGCAGGGATCTCCGCCAACTAAGCAGATCATTTGGGCAGTACCCCCAGCGAAGAACTCCTTGCCGCGACGACTGGATGTGTGCCTAGATTTGCTCGTGTCAGCACTGCCGTGCCTTAGACATGGTGCTTTGGAGGGCTGGCTTCGGAGCCACCGCCTACGTGGAACGTGTTACTTAGTCCATCAGAACACAGCATTTCCCGGCTCACGGCACAAAGCTGACGGTAACTAATGGTTAAGGTGTCAAGACTGGTCCTGATGCATCCTGCTCGGGCAAATCCTCGCGTGCATCCACTTTTATCGCATGCGAACAGACAAGGGGTCCAGGGCTTCAACCATGGCTATGGCAGAGCAATGACTCATTACCCATTTATCAAGGATGCTAGCTTGTCGTTGTTTCCGGGCTCCCAGCTTCCTGTACTCGAGAAGGGCTAGAGTTTCAGACTCGACACAGTCCAGTGGCCAAGGTTCGGGCCCCTGACGTTGAAGAGGCTGTTCCTGAGGGTGCGGAGGGGGACACCCTGGAGGCTGACCTGAGAGTCGCAACTGCTCAGCTTTCCAAGGGCCCGGCAAGCGCATGGAATCAGGCTGCCGGCGCCGATGGAAACGTCGGAGAAGCTGGCCAAGGCGATGAGGCATCGGAGGGAACAGATCGAGGAGTCAACCAACATCAGTCGCACAAGTCGGCATCGCAGTTCAGGGAGTTGCCAGGTGCTCACCACGATTTGAGCCTCGTCTGACAGACCTTTGAGTGACTGCAGGGAGCGCAATCCCCCCAAGTAGCCTGGGACCCAATCCATCCAAGGCAGGTGGCAAAACATCAATCCACGGTTCTAGAGTGTTGAAGTCTTTAAAATGCGATGTGCACCTATGAAGTGGTTGGGTAGCTACAGTAGTAACTACCTGCCGGATTGTTTATGCTTTTCAACTTGAGGAGACGATTACTCCTTGAGCTACTGTCGTAAGGGAAAGGCTGAGCAACATAACTGGACAAGGCGAACATGCGTGTGACAAAAGCTTTTGCGCCTCTCCAGGCCGTCCCAAATGCACAGCTTGTAACGGCATGTGTCTTCGGCTGTGCTTTCCTGCAGCTGCAGTTTCTCAGAATTCAAAGTTCTCCGTCATGGTGCGACACAGGGAGACTCGATGCTCTTCAGCACGTTCTTCTTTCGTTAAGGAATCATCAAGGATATGCTACATGCCACTCACGGATTCCCGAAACGACTTCGCAGAACATTCTGACAGCGAGTCAGTGTGGGTTCGGATGGCGGAAGATGGTGGCACAGGCGGCAGCACTTGCAGTTGCATCGCAGCGGGAGCACTTTTGCGCGATTTGAGGTTCTCCAGGTTGCCACCTTACACGCAGAAGTAGTTTCCAAGGCTTTGATTGCCAGCTTGCTGTATGCAAAGGTGTGCTGATGCCAGTGACATGTGGAAGTCCATGTTGGTCAGATTTAAGTACGAGCACAGGAAACACTGATAGTATGTGCATGCAGGCCACGGTGCCTCCAGCATGGTTCGAAGGTTTCGTGTTGACAAGGCGAGTATACCTTTCTGCCATCGGCCAGACAGGCATAAGTTGACTTCACAGGGTAGACGCTGTTGACTTCTCGGTTCGATATGGTTCAACATGGTTCAACACTGTAATACTGCGACACAAGACGGTGAAAACCCCCATTCTGACACATGCTCCTCTGTTGACAGGGCATGGTTGAATACAAGAGAGTCTCCTCGATAGCGTGGCAGCCACTACGAGATGCCGCCCATGATCATGACATGCCTAATGAGGCTCTGCAGCTGCCCCTGCTTTCTCCACCTCGGCCTGGGCCAATATACCGGAAGTGGTGTGCATGTCCATGCAGGTGTTATTTTGCTCAGTGTGCGTTATCAATCTCGTCGCCGGGACAGTTGCAAAGGTCCCAGCAAGCGCCGTCGCAGCTCTGGAATCTGAATGCATCCTATACGGGGACCTGCATGAGTGCGCATGAAGTACTGCTGTGATTTCGTGATGTTTCTTCTAGCAGTATTGGTACCTATACGGGATTATGTGAACGTCGCGCATCGTCACGCCTCTCTGCCGTGTCGAAGTCCTGAGAAGCGCGGTATCATAGTCCCAGAGTTCTTTTGCGTCACAGCTGGCCGGCAGGTACGGCTTGAGTCTTGGCGTCGACTTGGAGAACGAGGACTACATGGAGCTAGTCCAGGAGGCCAGGGTTGGTACTGGTAGCCAAGAAGACGATCTGGAGCAGCTCTTGAGATGCCGAAGTGAGACTCTCAGAATCTGGCGAGGCATGGAATGCACCGCTCCCAGCCAGTTGGACGGAGTATATGGATGAGCTGCCTGGAAGCAATTCGAACACAGGTGGACGGAAGCATGTTTTCTGTGGCTTATTCCACAAGCTTGGGCGGAGAGCAGGTTTGCAGGACAGCGACAAAGGCTTCAAAGGATCTCCTTTCGGGCAGCCAAGTGCAGTCAGGGCATTGTCGGGGGATGCCAGCAGTGGTATTTAAGCAAATCTCTTCACTGTGCGCCGTTGGCAGTGCATCGCAAGGTCGGGACGTGCGTACTATGTGAAAGAAGGCCTGTACAGCATGGATCTATGCCAACACACATGACTCTGTCTGGGACATTGTAGTACTCGTGCTGAGTACTGCCAATGTGCATGCTTTGCAGTACGGTGCATGCTTGAGCAATTAATTCCCGCCCACGCCGTGGCAGAGTGTCTCAGGAGCAAGCAGCTCGACATGGGAGCACCCAGCAGACCAGATCTACCGCAACCTCATCGACTTGATCCGGAAGGCTGTTGGGCTTTGTGGTAATCGTATCTGCGGCGCAGCATTTGTGCAAAGCCAAAGCGGCTATGTAGCATGCAACCTCGCTTGTTGAGGATGCCTGTCAATGTTGAGTGTTGCAGCTGTTGCAGAGTTGATGTAGCCCATGACACTCAGCGTCCTGCCATCAGTCCATCCGAGTGCATCTCCTTGGCAGGCGCGCGTAGAGGTCATGCCGCGCAGGCAGGAGATGGTCCCGGGCCTGGAGGCCGGCAGTCAGGAGTGCATCTGAGCTCTGTAGCATAAGGTTCGGGAGCACCTGCGCGAGAGGCACGAGGCTGGGATGGCACTTTGCCTTTGTCTTCCGAGGCCCAGGCCCATGCTTAGGCCTGCGTGTCATGGCAGGCTGCCAAGGCCGACCTTGCAGGCCGCGTGGCCATGCGTGGCCGAGTTACCAGAGTCTCAGAGTTTCTGTCGGTCGTGTCGAGGCTGGAGTGGACCATACGTGTCTGACCAGGGTGAGTACTACTACCACGACAGCTTGAAGGTAAATTTCTTGGAGCTCTGTGCAGTGCGAACATTCACATATACATCATGTGGAAGTGCTAAGAGGTGTGCAAGCGTGCAGGTCAGCGCCTGGAACAGTCCCATTGCGGAGTGGGAGCACGAACTGGAAACACGCCACGCCGTACTGGAGAGGTCCCATTCCAAATGCCAAGCAATAATTAGCAGGAAGCACGAGGCAGAGATTTCAATGCTTGTCCAAAGCGTGGTGCAGGTACCTGTTGTCGGAGCTACAGGAGGGCAGAGTTTTTGACCTGCTTGTCCCTTCTTGTACGATGCCGTTGCGAGGTAACACCCGGTGGCGAGGCTCCTCAGCGGCGTCGAGCCCCCAAGTCCGACGAGGAGTGATGAGTGGCCTCGCGGTGCCGGTTTCTGTCAGGTCCAGACATGCTCCAGGCCTTCCGAGCCTCCGAGCTGCCTCCAAGAACTGATCGCCGAATGCTCGTCGTAGGTGCTGAGACTGGAGCTGGGGAACTTGCGGAAGGAGAAGAGCCTTGAAGTCGCTTTTGGGAGGGGGGGGGGGCCTGTTGAGGTCTTCTTGTTTCCGCGGCATCTGTGCATGGTGCATGCAGGACCTGTGTGAGGTTCCAGAACCCTCGACGTGCCGCTCGTATCACACGGCCTGGCACAAGGGTGTCCAGGGATGTGAAGCCGAAGTCCACGCGTACCAAGTCGCATGTGGCTTAGCCCAAGATGATGTCAATGTGTGTACATCGTGGAGGCGCGATCGGGCACCTCTTCTCGGTCCGGGTTCATCTCTGAGCTGTCCGTGCATCTATGCATCTGTTTACTCCGAATCCCTGGAACCATACCAGCCTTATCAGCCCTCCCTCGAGCCTCGCCGGGCTGTTCGGGGTTTTGAGTGCCAAGAAGGGGCCGTATCGCATGATCAGGACAGAACTTTCCGGAGACGACGGCTCATATCGTAGGTTTCTGCCTCCATTGTTGTGTCATGAGGCGATCCAAGCACAGCCTCGGAGACAAGGAGCGGCGCAAGGAGAGGAAGCGCCGTGGATGCACGAATGTCCTCCTAGGCGACTTTTGCTGGAGGGCCGCGGGTTGTGGAGCACGTCATGGATCAAGGGCCTACTGCACGGACTAAATGTTCTTCAAGTGCAGCCGTTACCCAGGTAGCTATTGAGATTGACAAATTTCTGAAGCCGTGCTGCCCAGCGGACTACACGCGCTGCACGTACCACCAAGGAGCAAGAAAGACGATGACGAAGGACCCCCTGCCAGCCAGCACCTTTCATCTTGCAGGCCGATTGTTGTGTCATGTTTGCCAGGCAGAGACCGTCGGCGTGTTCTGGGTGATGTTCCAGAAGGCGTGCTGTCAAGCTGCCAGAACGATGCCCTGACTCTGACGGCTTACATGTCATGACATTCCTCAACGTTTCGAAGTGCATGAGGAAATGATGCATCTTCACCGGAGAAGGGCCGAAGCAGTCCAGATACCGAGGACATGCTCCATGTTGAGTGGCGGGATGGCGTGTGTGTCGAATTTGGGCGGCAGCTGCTACCATGCAGTTGCCACTCCTAGCGGCCAAGTAGAAGGATGCCGCACCAACCTGCCCATCCTGAGCGACGCACTGCAAGCCTTAATGCATGTGATGCTGGCTAGGCGATCGGTTTTAATTCAATCCGCAGACGTGCCAAACGTATGACCTGATCGATGCCGGAACCCACGGATTTTAAAGTTGCTTGCAGGAGGCTACTCTGGATCCCTCGCCGTGATGACATCTGGCAAAAGTCTTGTCATCGGGGAGATGCAGGGGTATGTCATGCTAGCTTTGCCTCCGGCCGTTATTGCAGCATGTTTGAGACGCGTTCTCTTTGCCTTCGGCTGGATACCCATGTCGGTAGGAGCTTGTGACACATGCAAAGCCAGCGCTACGAGACCCTTTGCACCCCTGTGCCTGCCAGGACAGGACACTTTTTGCGCACTGTCCCTGAATTCTGAATCCAAGCCGGCTCCTTCCGCACCAAGCTTGGGGACAAAAGAAAAACAGCCCCCCAGCAACACAACAAGGTTCGTTTATCGAAACTCAAAAGAGTTGCTGGCAGACAACAGTCATGACCATGGATGCTGCCGCGTTCGTGCTGCCCCTGCCAAAAACGGAGGCTCGCTGTGCGGATGCCCTAACGGCTGGGGCCCGGGCAGGGGCGCAGGGCTTTCAGCATCTTCGATATCAGCCTTTGCAAGTCTCGTTCGTCGGATGCACTAGCGGCCTTGCTTTGAGCACTCTGGGGCTGGCGGCTTCGGCCCGGCAAACGCAACGACGCACACGATTGGCTCGCCTGGCGAGCTTTGCACCCCCTCGGACGACTCGACCGGACGATGGGAGGCAAGGGTGCTGCAGTTGCAAGAGCGAATTACTGCACCCGGGATCTTGCACTTTGACTCATGTAAATTTGCAACTGAAGGTGTCAGCATTCCAGCTGGGTGCTCGTCGCATGTGATCATTCGTGACTTGCATAACTCTGCGAAGCCCTGCCGACTAACTCTAGAGTGTATGCAAAGATTGATTGAATACCAACCCACCACAGCGGACAGAGGACAGTTACCTGGATCGGGTTGAGGGCTGGGGCCGGCAGGGTCAGGTTGCATCCATCGCAATTGAAGCTTGCATTTGGGGGTGAAGAACCATTGCACTCTGCGACGGAGGTTATATGGAACCGCGAGGAACAAGAAGTGCTGACATAATTTACCCTGTGACTCCACGTGTGAGCACGAAAAGAGGAGACGGTCTCAGACTCAACCCAACTCCCGAGCTGCAGAAGCACTCCATGAGCATTCAGGAGCCCCCCCAAAAGAGGGGTGACAAGGTGCTGGCAGGTGAGCTATCATTGTCCACCTCCATTCGTGGTCATGTGAATGGTGTTCTGTGCCATCACAATTCACGATTTTGCAAGGCGTTTCTTGTGCTTACAGCTGCTGACATTTCATTTTCTGCAGGTGTCTTGAGAGCTTGAAAATCGCCGAGCAATCAAGCTAATGAGTTAAGATATGTTAAGATGCTCACCTTTCATGGCAGCATCGGAATCTGTCGAAGGGCACGAACCGTTGAACCGGATCGGCGAACTACCCACGCATGTTAAATGACGTGGCAAAAGTCGTTGTCGGGAGGCACCGTACACATGGCACCACAAGACCTAGCAAGCTAATACCAAACCGGCAGTAGTAAGTTCAGACGAGTTCCTTGCGGTGCGACATTGTTCAGCTGGGTGGGTGGCAAAAAATACCAAGCCGGAATCCTGCATCGGCCATGCAAAGAGGGCAACAGTTAAAAGCCGCAGCATGCCAGAAAGGAGGATTTTCATATGGTTTGGTGGACACGGCTCCTGATCTCTTGTTGGAGAGGCACTGGGAGACCTCCGTTTGCCACATCGGTCCCGCTTCTACTGAGCCAAAGAAGCTGCGTGTAGTGGGCTATGAGGCAGGTTTGGCTCATGGCATGATTTCAACATGGCCTCGAAAGAAAAGCAACAACAACAGCTTGTCTCTGCTCAGGCCAGCGGCATCCAGGCCATGTCGCTGTCGGACGAGACACTTTTCGTGGGTGCCGCTGGTCGCGTGAGAGCAATGGATATCTCCAGTGGTGGTCTTGCTGGGGAGTGGCTTGCAGCAAGTGGTTTCCCAGCAGGTTCTCTAGTGTTGACCTGGCTTGACTCGGGTCCCGTGGCAGAGTCTGCCCAAATGGGACGGAACTAGCAAGGCGAAAGGCAGTCGGACAAATGTAAGCTTTTTATGAGCAGTAATAAAGCCATGCACTGGTGGGAACATGTCGTGTTTGATGTCAGGTTTGCCGAGGGCTCACACATCCCCCACGAGACGAAGGAGCTTTGGTCCGGGTTCGCTCATGGACAGAGGCTGGTTGTTGCTGGGAGATCCGACGGCAAACTTGTGGGCTGGAGCTCCTCGGCAGTGGGATTAGTGCGGTCAGCGCTTCAAACTCTCAGATGTGGGCGTCTCAGAGGAAGCAACTCGCATGTCCGTGCTCTGTGCTTGCAAGGATGTGGTCTTACCACTGCAACCTTGGCTTTCGACTGCCGCAGCCAGCAAGGACAGCCAATCACCGGCCTCTTGTCGCAGAGCTCAGAAGCAGCAAGGGCCAAGGAAGACACCGTCTAACTCCTTTTTTCCAGAAGCGTGCCTCGCCTTAAACTTGTTCCTGCTCATGTCGAAGGCCTTGTGGAGTCAGAGGGCTTGCTGGCCAGCAGTACCGCGGACGGGACCATCCATTTCTGGAATGTCGCCGACATGGTGAACGACACCATCAACCTTGAGAGCAGCTCGCCAAGCATGGATCAGCTGAATCACAATGTGCCATTGCTACACCTGTCGGCAGCATCCAAGCAGAGGACCAGAAACAACCTGCGGCAAGTCGGTGCTTTGCCTCACATCGGGACGAGGGGCCATATATGCCGGCTGCGAGGCAGGAATACACACTGCTACGGGCTGCCGTTTGCTTTGATTGTGTTGATTTCGGTGCAACGTGGGAGCGAGGCAGGGCCGGAGGTTTAGCGGAGCTATGTCTGGCCGACTGCCGACATTGCTGTACTTGGGAAATGGCTGCTATGAATCGTGACACCGCTGGTTCCCAGTATTTTACAGCGCTTGTAAACTCACCTGCACGGCATCGGCTTCACAATGATGCGATCTAGATTCTGCTTGTAAATTCTAGATGCTTGCCTCGTTCCCTCACTGAAGTGGCCGGAAGTGGCTGCAGGGTTCGCCTTTAACCTTGCGATACAATGCAAAAGCATCACACCGCTAGCACAAGACTTGCTTTCCCTCCGGCGCTTGCAGTTTTCGACAGCATGTACCGGTCCAACAAATTAAAGCATTGCAGGGTGCCGGAAAGACTCTTCTCGCTCTCTCTCTCTCTCTCTCTGTCTGGTGCCTTTGTTCTTCATTCCAGCCGTCCTTTTCTACATTCTACATGCAAGAACGGCGAGCCACGCCCAATTGCAGTGTCAATTACTACTTTCAAGCGACTTTCTGACGCAGTGTCTCAAGTTGGGCTCCTGCGCTGCCTGGTTTCTGCGTCTGTTGTGTTGGCTTCGAACTGCGCGCAGTAGTTTTGAAAATGCATTGCTGAAGTGTTTCAATTTGGGCATAGCCCAACCTGCGAGGGAAACTTGAGACTGCAGTAGCTGTGTTAAGGCTGCATCAGCAACCTCAGGCGTAGCCAAGACCACGCACTGTGTCTCACATAAAGTATCTTTACCATTCCGCAACATGCAGACTCGGTTTCATATCCTTGGTCCAGAAACTGCCGCGGTCAGCCTCACCATTGCCAGGCAAGTAGTGCCTCAGGGAACATGCGCAGCTAGGCATTTGTATATCCAGCTGCAGCATGAAGAAGCACGTGTTGATGCCAGGATGGGTCAGTGTTCAGGATATCCGGTGGTTCCAACGCAGAGGAGGTGTTCAAGTCCGATGGGCCAGTGACGGCGTTGGAGACTGGGAATGATATGGAGTAAGTTCCTCTTAGCTATCACATCGGGTATCTCATTGCATGACACTAGGCCACCAAATCCATGCTTCTATCGAGCTTCACTGGATGTCTCGGATGTTGGGCTCGGCTACGTACTGCAGATTAAGGCATGCGGTCCTGCAAGTGATTCCTTAATTCTGGGACATGTCGATGGCCGCATGGTCCAGATACTGGAAGACGGCAAACTGCTGGAGATGGCTGCTTTCCATACTGACCAGGTGATGCTTGTCATATCTTGGCCTGATCAACGATTTTTCCTCAATTTGTTTGCGGTGTGCTAGGGCTAGGCGAGGAATGGTGGGTTTGTACTTCGGTGACCAATGAAACTTCTGCGGACTGACGAGCATCGGCACCCAGCACAAAAGGCGTGAAAGGTCCGAAAGGCTCGCCGCCACACAGAGGTGCACGTCGAAGCACCTTCGAACAGGGAGTGACTTCACAGACATCAATGTATACAACGTTTTGTGCGCACTGAGGCGCTTCCTCCAAAAACTGAGCACAGGTGTGCTGAGCGTTGCCGCAGATGGTCGGCTTGGTTTCTGGGAGGAAGACGACGAGGGCAGCATGCAGCCACAGTGGGGTTTCCGGAACCTTCCTGCGAGAACTATCGCCGCTGCGGATGAGACGCAGATCTTTCTGACTTGCTCCATTAATTCTCATACTCCAGGCTAGCTGCTGGGAATCTACATCATCACATTCCATGTTTGTAGAAGTATGGTCGTGTTTTGCCAATGCCTGAGCTTCTAATCCAGCGCCGCCGTCTTGTGGAGGGAGGCATGTTCTTAGGCAGGCAGAGACAGGTTTGGCACCGATGTGAGACATGACAGGCACGGGTCCACAAAGCTGGTGATAATTCCGCCCTGTGGAGGCAATCGTGTTCTGGACAGCTCTTGGAAGCGATCGGACACGGAGTTTGACGAGGCAACACTTCCATGTTTCCTGCTCTCTTTTGCACAGCATCCAGAACCGCCTCGCGAAGCATCTCTGTCCTGCCCTGGAGTGTCGCTCCTCCTCTGGGAGTCTGATGCCAGTTTGCACTGCATGCTGATTCAAGGTCAGGTTGAGTTGAAGGCTTCAAGGCTACTATACGAAGCCAACTAAACCCTTCTGCTCCGCATCGAGGGTACTTCCGCCTAGCAGGGCATTCCCACTTGGCAGGTGGCTCCCGCCTGCGAGGCCATTCTGCAAGTCAGCCTCTAGACAGCGCGGCCAAAACGATGAGCGTCCGAGCTATCTTCTTAGAGCCTTAAGGTTGGGAAGGGCCTAAGGGGCATCAGGATAGATGAAGGGATGAACATCCAAAGTCGGAGCGTCAGCACGGTCTCCACTTGGTGACTCATGCATCCTGCGGCTTGAGCACGTGCCGTTCCAGTAGCGGGCGGGCTACTGTCCCAATGCGGTCATGGTCAGCTGCCCAGACTCAGACGACGTTATAGTACACTCTCAGAAGCACGGGGTGACCTCAGTCACTGGTGAAAGTTGCCGTTCTAAGTTTGGGACATGCGACAAACCGGCTGGCAATGCTCTCACGCATGCGAGGTGTCAGCCACGAAGCCCAAGATCCGGAGTTGAAGAAGCCCCACAGACAATCATAGGCATTGCATGTCGAGTTGACACAGAAATGCCGGCAATTTGCATTGCGCTGACAACAGGCATTCTATAGTGACATAATAAGTAGTGAGGGTGCACTCCGCCAAGCTGTGGGACAAATGCAGAAGGAAGAAAACATGTCGGCCCAGGTCTGAGCGGAAACGCTTGCCACCCTTGACCGAACGACCCGCTTCGCCAGAGGACTGGAGAGTCCTGTTGTCTTGTTGTTGTCTTCCAAGTCTTGTTTGCTGCAGGGCCATAGATCGCAGCCCCAGAGCGTGTTGTCAACCGGTGTCGTGGCACGCAGACGCCCAAGCCCCAGAGATGCTGGGCTGGCAAGGACTCCGGGACGAGAAGTTGACATGGCTGGTGCCGCGAGCAGCACATGCTTTCTTCCCAGGTCAAGAGCCTCACCGCCTAGACCCGCTTCGACATGCGCAAGGTGACATGCGGCAAAGCAGTCACTTCCTCGGTTAGCTCATGTCCGAGTAAGGTGATCGCTTGGCGTCCTTTGGTAAGCTCGACAAGGAGCCTTTCCGGAAACCTTCCATCCAGGTCCGCTTCAGCAGAGTGCCACAGGAGCCTGAGCAACAACGGCTGGTCATTCCGGCTCTCACCAACGCACTAATCTTTTTGAGAAACATGTGTCTCCCGTTTGCGCTAGGAAACTATAAAAGTTTTGAAAGGTCCCGATGTGATCTGATGCCATCGTGACAGTTCAACGGATAATGCGGGTTGTCACCGTAGGTGATGTGACACCCGCATTGAATTAAACAGCTCTTTGCGAAGTCCCATGGCCTAATCTATCCATTCGAAAGCCCATGTAAAACGATATCTACCAGTACCGCTGATGGTTCGGCAGGGCTCGCAGCCTGCAGTTGGGAGCCACCAAAGGGAAAACAGATCTTTCACCAAGTCGTACACAGTCCCAGCATGTTCAGAGCATGTTGGGGTCCTGAGCGGAAGGTCTTTGACTGCATTAGTTTTGCATATGGGCCATCAAGTATGTCTTGTGTTGCCGCCTTTCAACCAACCCAGAACAAGAACTGCAGCTACACAGCGACATGCACCCAGCGTTGCATGGAGTGTGTGAGGTTGGTTTGTAGGGCGCAGCAGCTACTCGAATCGGAAGGTGGTTCTTAAAGTGCAGCAGCAAATCAACGCCATGAGCGGCCACAGGTGCTTGGAAGAGAACAGCGTGGTGGCCTGATCTTTTCATCTATTGCTCACAGAGTGCACTCGATCACAGTTTCGCCGCTACAGCACAGCAGGGCGTCCATTGTCCAGAAGACAAGGTACTTCAAATTTGTTTCAAGCCTGGCGAGCTGTTTCCAGAATCCTCCTCTTTCTGTACATCAGGCAGAGACGGCAAGGCACTTGCTGCCGAGCTAGCAGGCCCGGCCTTCACAAGCCGACTGTGACAGTGAGCTCTTGGCTTGCCGTTTTGTCTTTGATTTTGGGTGGGCTGTCCGGACATCGCGTCGGCTGCTTGTCCTTCTCTGGTAGAGGCCCCCCGCCGGCCACCACACAGGCAGATTGCAAGCACTAGCCTTCCTGAGTTGACTTGCGAGCCTTCCCGTTTGCAAAGTTCTCTGCTTCTCTTGGGCTTGGTCTGCCAGCAGGAGCCACCCGAAACTCGCTGCAAAGCACAGGCAGTCGCATCCCTGCAAAGGCACGAGATTCGGTGTTTGAAGCTGCTGTGTCCCTACAGGGCAAGGGTGGAACACATGATGGGCTAAGCTGTAAATCCGAATATCGCCACTCCCAGATACGAATGAGCCCGGTGCCCATCCCGGCGTGCCCGAGTGACATCGACTGAGCATGGACTTTCTACTTGCGAAGCGGGCAATTTGGTCTTTGCTGATTGCTGAGAGGCCTCCAAAACCCTTGCTTACCGACATTCTGTCCTTTTCGGCGTCCAGCAGAGCTGGGAATTGTGGGAACCCGCCAGGTTATACCAGCTTGCAGTGATTTGCAAGGCTCCCTTTGATTAACAGAAAAGTACACGGATCCTAAAACCAAAACTGCTTAACCCGGCCAATGATGTGAAGATCCTGCCCGAAGCGTCGCAGCTAAACTAGCTCCACTGCCCGCATGGCCTTGTCATCGCCATCGAGCTTACACGTCCCATTGCTGCAACCTGTAACAAGTACCGATGGAGATCTGCTTGTTGGGGATTTGATTTTCTCTGTGTGTGTTCTTGCAGGTTCTTCTTCGAGGAGCTCAAAGGTTGCGGAGACGTGAATGCTGCTGCTGCATCGGCCTTGCGCCGATTGGCCGACGTCCACACCTCAGGAACGGTGTCGCTTCGCAGACGAGCAAGATGATCCGCTGCTGCGTGGCCTGTGCAACTGTAGACGGCATAGTCTTAGGAGGGCTCCTCGGATGTGCGCCTTGGACGCATCTGTTCTTATGGAGCTCTCACCCACTCACCAGCTGACATGGCGGTTTCGAGCTAGAGGCAAGCATGGGCAACATGATTTGGTTGCTGACCTCCTTCCCATGATGTTCTCAGGCCTGCTGCGGCATCGCCCAGCGAGGAGGGAATGTTCGCCCAACCTTCCAAGTCGTTTCAAATTGCAATCATCACGAGTGACGGATGCGAAAACAGGTCCAAAACACACAGGATGTTCGAAGTCATTTGCGCATTTGTGCACATCGAACAGGCAACTTCAGCTGGGGACGATTGAAAGGAGACTCGACAGGTGAGTCGATGGTGATCTGTAAAACAGCCCAGAGCCCAGAAAAAGTCTGGCGATTGTAAAAATCTTAGTTTCGGGCCCTCGAATCAAAGCCGATAGAGTGTCAAGTGACGCTTGGCCCGCTAGAGTCCATAGAACACAGCACGCAGTTGAAGATGCCTAGGCGTGGCAGCTTGCCCCGCGCAAACCTTATTGAACTCGAACGCATGTATTCGTCGTTAGCGGAGCTGTGTTTTAGTGCGGATGTGGAATCCAGCGTGGAACTTAGATCCCAAAAGGTCCCTTGCAGCAATGTGCAAGCTTCGTTTCACTAGCGAAGCAGGCTAGTCCCAATTTGGGAAACCCGTTGGGGCGGCGTTGCTTCCGAATTCGCAAGTGGTCGCCTAGACCGCTGAGCCATAGATCATGGAATGGAAGTGCTTTGGCCAAACTCCTGGCTAAAGTGATGATTGATAGTTCTACTCGTGGTAGAGCCAACAGCAAATCTAACTAGGCCTAGACTCTACGTGCAGATGGGTCGCGCGAGCAGCTTGCTTCAAGGGCGTCTGCCTTGGGGAAAAAGTGTGGCTGTGACATGCTTGATAGGATAAACTATCGCAAGCTTGTACGACCAGAGTCGGTTGGACGCAGGTGTCTGTTGTGCAGCAATGTGCAGCAGCCACGGTTCAGTGGCCCAAGCACGCCGGTTGGCGTGAGCTGGTTGGAGCTGAGCAAAGGTCCGAATGGCACAGATTGTGGAGGCCCGGCTTTGACTGCATGGGCATCTGCCATCTACCAAAGCGGGCGCGAAGCAGTCCTAGACATGTCGAATACTACAGTCTGGGATTAGTGCAAGCTGTCGTTGCAGTCTGAGTTAATCCAACCAGAGACAGAGGCGGACATCTTCTGCTGGACGTTGCTTGGATTGACTCTGGCGGTGGCGCTTGCTTTGGATGCGAGTAGCTCAGTATTCCAGGCAGAGCCATGCAAGCTAAGTGGCTCAGAACCGGTGCCTCGTGCGTGACCTGCGAGGTAAGTTTCTCCCCTCCCAGGGTTGGAGCTCTGTCAGTTCAGACGGCGGCCAGGGCCTCAGGCAACCATGGCGAATGGAGACTTGCAGCTTGCCATTGTTAGCAGTGTCCGTTTCGCGATATAGCAATACAAGACGGAGGACCTTGAAGGGGCACTGTGGGACTACCATGGCTGCTGCTGTATGATAAGTTTTCTTCGGCTTTGCCGGACAGGGGAAGCTGACAGCCTTCTGGTTCTGCGTGGGCTTGCTGTTCGATGTATTCCTGCTTGGTCGGGGAGCCCAGATGAGGACTGCGATAGCTTCCAGCAGAAATTGTTCGCTATGTGCCGAAAGCAGAGTCGGGGCTCCAAGGCCACTCCGGCTGGGAAGCAAGCTCAGGCTTCATGCAAGGCTTCCTCCTTGAGTGTCCTGGCACTCCACAGTCAGGAGGGCATAGTAGAGACGGGTATGTGCACTCGCGCCATAAAACGTAGCCTCAACCGGTCCATATACATGTATAAACAAGTATTACATACATATTAATATACGTATATGCATTAGATAAATAGATAGATAGAGTTTCCGTATGTTATAGATTATGGCGGGCTCAAGGATACTTGAATGTTTGGTTGTCACGGAACTGGCCACAGTGCCAGTGCTTCGGAGTGGTTGTGTTGGTTTTGGTTGGATGATGTGTCAGAGGATGCCAGTTGGATTCCAAGCCCGCCACCCCTCATGATGAAGAATGGTACATGGTCTGGATGACATGAATGTCTGCACAGGGTAGCTGCTATCCAGAGGTATTCTAGTCATTACTCATTGGATATTGGATGCGCAGGCTGACGTCGCACACCCATATTGGTGCAAGCGATGGCCTGTCCCGCTCAGTTTTTCGCGTCGAATTGCGCTCGTAGTGGCTGTCTAGCGAACAGCCCTGGCACCACACTCCTTCATTTGCTGGCATTGAATCTGTCCGAAATTCGCGGCGTAGGGGGCCCATCCGTGTCCGTAAAATCAGTCTGAAACTAAAGCAATCCCGCAACTGGTCTTGGGGCTTGTCCACCATCTCTTCTTCAGGTACATGCTGAGCTTTGACAACCTTTTCGTGGGCGCCCTGGTCACTGCCATCCCAGCAGAAATATGGCTTTCCCCTCTGCAGCTGCAGGTGTTCCACTTGGTCTTTTCGTACTATTGCACTCCGGAGGCATGGTCAAAGCAGCAAGAGCCCGGGCTTCAAAGGCGTCCCGCGCCCTGCTGCGCAGGATTTGATGTACCGAGCTCTGTACTTTGGCATCGCCGGTGCCATCGTCCTTCGCGTGCTTGCCCTGGTATCCGTGCTGGCGGCTCTTGAGCTGGCATTGCAATGGGCCCGTGCTGCGAGGTGGTGTTTCTCTCGGTCGGCTACACCGTGCTGAACAGATTGGTCCTGGTGAAGCTCATCTTCGGTGCATTGCAGACACAAGTCTTAGTGCGGCAGCAGCATTGCCCAGATTAGCCTATCCATGCATTCTGCATGTCGGTAGCTGAGAACTAGGTTCGCACCTGGTGGCAATAGAATGGCACAGGTGTGGTCCTTGTCTACAGCGGCTTGAAGACGGCAGCAGACGTGGAGGAGGAGACTGGTCGTGTTGACGATGAGAGTTGCGAGGCGTGTAAATGTGGCTAGTAGATTGGTATGGAAGGAAACAGATCCCAGCAAAAATCAGTTGGCGAAGACCTCAGACCTCTCAGCCCCAGGCTTCGGCGTGGCTTTTGTGCCCGAACCATTCTTGCTTCAGGTCGCACTGGCAGCAAAGGTCTGCTGTCTCAGTCCATCTAGACTAAAGTCCCGAGCAGATGCAAACGCCTCGCTCTGCGAATGCCTTGCTCAGGTTCTGCCAATCAGAGAGCCTGACATGTGTTGGAGTGAAGGTTCAGGAGATCTAGCCGTGGCAGCTTGACGGATAATATGGCAGGCGACCACTACGAGCCGCACGGACACTTCTTCTTCGTTGATGAGGACATGATGGGACGATCTCAGAAAGTACTGGTAGATGGAAGTGAGTGAAAGAAGAAAGACAGAAAGCACGATGGATGGACATAGATAGCCCGCGCGTGAACGAAACCGGCCTCGCATTTGCAGACGTTTCATTTCGACGCTGACGGGTGCTGTGTTGGATGTTATACCACAATGCTTTTCTCCGTTTGTCCCGAACGCCCCTCTTGAGCTATGCTGGTGGATGGCAGGAGACCGTGCGTGACGACATGTCGGATCGTGGGCGAAGTCCATCCCTTGAGGCTAGCAGTAAGGGGTGGGTTGGAACCCAGAAACGATTAGCTTCGCGCAGGGTCTATTGGCCACAGACGCAGATGCAGCCGTCGCCCTGGAAGTTTCCGCAACAGCTGTGCAAGATCCTGACCGGCTACCACTGGAGGCTTTCAACTCTCTCCCCCGCTTGGAATCATTTGAGGCCGGTCGCAAGCCGTTTAGATTCTCGCACTTGGAAGAGTCCTCAGTCATGAGTCTTCCCGAAGCAGGGAAGCAGCCTTCTTCGAGCTCCAGAGGATCTGAATCCACCGCCAACAGCTTCACATGCATGCGCAGCCTGTGACGCGAGAGCAGAAGTCACACTAGCTCTAGCTTGGCAGAGGCGAGTTTTTCCGGTATTTATGCCTGTAAGAGATGGCTGCAACGTAGGTTGTCTGCCAGAGTGTCCTCTGGACGTTGCAGGACAGAAACCGGCCGAGCAACCCACGTGAAGGCGCCTCACTACTGTATGCCTTGTCGTATAACCTGTGTAAACGGCATGGGACACGTAGAAGGACAGAGAGATCGTAGAAGGACACGCAGAGCATTTGCCAGTGTTTCAGGCTCAGAACTTTTTCGGGCCCCACGTGCTCGTCAGAAGGTGCAGCCACCCAGGTGTTTTGAAGTCTGAGCCGTGGTAAAACTTCAGAATTGCTCGGATCGCAGAGTGAGGCATCGTTATTGTTACTGGTGGTGATTGCACTCCTGGCTGTCGACCTGGCCCGTGTCCCAGCACAAGTGGGTTTTCGAGACGCCTACGCACCGTGTCTAGTGACAGGCCGTTTCGTGTCATTCTGTGCATTCCGATGCAGTCAGCGCGGTTAGTAAAGCCGGTCCCGTGCTGCCAGGGTTGACTGGAACGTCAGAGCTTGTTCAATCCTAGGTCATGCTTCATGCCAGGTGCCAGTTGTGAGACGCATCGCATGCGCAGAACTCTAGAGCACACGCAACGCAAGGCTTCACTAGCCTTCAAAGCGCTGTATGTTCAAGAACATTCAGCATGAATCATGTCGGGTATCTTGGTTCATGGACAGTGTGTAATGAGGTCATCACTTATGTATCACGCACTCAGATCTTCGCCCTCGACTCCGTCGCCTCCAAGCTTGCGGCAGCAGGTCTCTAAGATGCTTTTCTGTTCTGAAGAAAGAACCACCCGGCACAGTTGAAGATGGGTTTTGTCATGTCTTGTCCCTGCCAGAGTTTGAAAAACTATGCGGAGCTGTTGAGGGTCCGTTTGCATCAGAGAGTATGCCTCGTGTACCACTTTCGAGATTGGCATAGGCATAGGCCGCAACAAACAGATCAATGCAGCCTTGGCTAGACGTTTACATTTTTTGTGTTCCTGGGAAGTTGTGTCTGAAACAATGTCAGGTTGGTAGCTGCTGCAGGCCGAACACGAACTTTAGGATCACGGGAATCACTTCTTGGATTTGACAGCGATTGCTTCGTCCAACCGCCTGCCGGGATGTTCGAAATTGAAGCTGAGGGCGCAAAGAACAGGATTTGGGCTACTGCATTGAGGAAACCCAAAAGGCATCGACTTGCAAGCACCACCGGATCCGTGGGGCTCTGTGGAGCTAAAGGTCAATGACGTGTTCCTGAATTGCGCCTCCTCCGCCTTTGCAATGATGGGGCTCAGGCCTGGAGCTCAGGATTCCTACAGCAGGCCATGTTCCGCATGGGTCAGTCTGGTTCAACACGGAAAGGCTTGCCTAATGGGCCTTAGATTTCGGTAATTACAGATTACCCTTCGTCTGAGCGGCGTCCGGGCAAGGGCTCGGCAGACACCGCATCCTCCCAGGTCACTGTACTTTATCATGGAATCCCTGGTGCAGACGTTCTACATGTTGAAGTATGGAATTGCCGCCGTCCTGGTGCTGATCGGGCAGCGCGGCAAGACGCGAAGCCCAAGGGAGTATTGCTGCTACGGTGGTGCTGCTGCTCCTCTGTCCGCCACCGCTGATGCTGCGATAATGATGGTAGTGACGGTGAACTCGGTGATGATGTTGCTGCCACTGGTGATAATGATTTTGCGAGATTGACTGGCAATGTTCAATCAGTAATGCAGCTTCGCAGTACCTCCTGTTCCGTCCAACAGTACTTGCTTCAAGCAGTTCGCATGAAGGCTCAAGCTGCTCTTCTCGCAGTGGCTGGACATCTCCAACTCCGCAATGTTTGTGATGATCATCTTGATCTGTGCAGCCAGTGCTGCATCTTCGCGTCCCAGATTGCATTATGTCATTATGTTATGTTTTCGTCGTGGAATAACATGAATAACTTGAAGGGGGTGTCTTAGCTGGAACTCTGTGCTTCCTAGTCCTTGCCGAATATCTTCAGAGAAAAGAGCAGAGCTGCTTTGCGGTGTTGGGATGTTCAGGTACTGGGTGGAGCAAGTTCCAGACGCTTGCAAAGGCAGGCCGAGCGGCTCGAGCTTTGCCCGTCGGGGGCCGGGTGCTGCGTCTTAAGTCTGCGAGTGGAATAAGGGAGGCGCAGAGTCAAGCACAAATGCAAGGTTTGAGGCTTCCGGGAAACTACAATCACATAGACATCGTAAAAAACCTGAAGGCCCGCGAACCCGAAGGCAGACACTCGTCATGCACCTCGCGGAGTATAAGTGGAAATAGCAACACCGCATGCACTATTTCGCACGTACAGATTTTTTTGATTCGATAGAGACGTCTCATGTCCATCGAGCTACATGTCGCATGGAGGGAACGATGAACCCCGGCAGCGCAAGGTCCGGCAAAGCCGTCCCTCCGCACAGACAGGCGACAGGAGGAGAAGAAGGATCCCCGGAGCCTTCGGGTGTGGAGACGCCATCCCTAGCGAGCGATAAACAAAACTTGTAACAGACAAACAAACAAAGAAAGAAACAAACAAACCAGCAAACAACAAAGCACACATACGTCACACATATATAACCTAAAAACATGCGAAGCCGACGATCCCCGCACCGGAGTGTGGGGCAATGCCAAACTCGGCTCTCTCAGGCAGGAAAACGATCGGAATGCTCCGGGTCAGCTGGATCAAGGATTCGACCATCCTGCAGCCAACCCTTACCGGATCCTGCGATGGGCGGCAGGCCCCCGTGCCACCCCGAGACGCGCCCAAAAGCCTTGCCCGCCTGGCCCGACGGGTAATTACGCGACACCGGCGCGCCACCCGCAAACGCTTTGCGAACGCTCCGCGAACACAAAACCGCGGTATTTCGTCGAGTCCTGGACCCGTGGACCCCGATAGAACCCTTCTGCTACGCATTCGGAAAAACGCGTTGAAAGTCTTGGGAGGCGCAAATGGCTTGGAATCTGAAGAGGCTCGGATTTCTCAATGCTGAAGGGGGCTGAGCTGAGCACTGCCCGCGACCGGCCGGAGGACATGGAGCGCACAGACCGGCACTTCGATCGAGAGGAAGGGCTGCAGGGCCCAAGCACCGAGCACGTTGACGCCGCACAGGCCATCGACTCCCCTGCTGGCCAGACAATGTCGAGGTCTCGGATTGTCAGCACGGCTGAGGACTGCAGGTGGCGTCGCGTGAGATATGAGGCTGGAAGAGCGGGCGGCACTAGAGCCTGCCGCGCGCCCAAGTGGACCGAACACGTGGTGCATTTTCTTTCTGGCTGTTCCTGCCGCCACAAGCTTCAGCAGCTTTCGGAGGTCACGCCGTCCAGGCCAGTTCCGCTCCGAGTCCAGGCAGAGGAGTGTGAGCCGCTGCAGTTCGAGCCCGAGCGCTACGAGCTCCAACCGGTCATAAGCAGCCCAGAGCAAGGAAGGTCCGGTAGGTGGGCCGAGCAGGAGGAAGTCGGCGAAACTCCACGCAGAAGGGACGAGATGAGAAGCTTAGCAGCCTCAACCTCCAGTGACGGAGGCGAGAAAGAGGAGGATCTCGATGAAGAGCACCAACAGACGGACGAAGGGCAGGCGGTAGGAACACAAAGGCTGGGCCACTGCGGTCCCGAAGGACTTCACATTGAAAATGGTGATGCAGGAGCCGTGCTTGAGCCCTGTGAGTTGAATCCATAGACTGTTGCGATGTGCCCTCAAACTGTCGTTAGCCAGGAGCGACGGGAGCAGCAAGCGCTGAAGAAGAAGAACGCCTCCACCTGACGGCGTTTGGCTGAAAACTTGCGCCAGCGCAGCTGTTTAAGATGGCTTGTTGCATGCTGAGCTGTCGAGACCCCCATGCCTACGGCATGACGCAGTGTTGCTGCGTAAAGATTGACTTCATGCCTTGTCCGGCCCGTATGGCTCAAGTCTCAGCCTTCCGCTGACCATGCTAGCTTCCATCTCAGCATGCGGAGAGGGAGCAGGCGTATCATTCTTGGGACCCTCCAAGTTTCCATACGCAATCTTTCCTAGAGAAAGGATGTTTGAGAATCTCCGCATTCTTCTCGATTGATTTGGCTAAGGACTGAAGCGGCTGCACCTCAGCCGGCCCACCAGGTTGCCTGGTGCTGCGAACTGTGCCGAGCAGGAATGGCCTCGTATTCAGAAGCGCGAGTGCCATAGATGTGCTCCATTCACCAACTTCATTGAATATGTGTCATGCAGAGCAGCGAGCAAGAGGGAGAGAGAGAGAGAGAGAGAGGGGGGGCTTATCTCGCCCCTTAAGGCTGGGAGAAGAAAGAGAGAGGGAGGGAGGGAGAGGGAGAGGACTAAGTGCGCCAAGCGCCTGAGGGTCACGACGTGACCCCTACGCCCGGCAGAAAGAAAGCAAAGGACTAAATGCGCACGCAGAGGGGTAGAAACTGCTGTCCGTCTTGGCCGTGTGGAAGAAGAGGGAGAAGGAGAGAGAGAGAGAGAGAGAGAGAGAGAGTTTGGCTCAAGTACTGCACCTTTGCTTGGATGCTTGTGCTGCCTCCTTGCATCGAGGGGGAGCCGGGGGGTTAACTTGGACTGTGACTCCAGTGGGGCCTTCCCGGCTCGCCCAGCGGTGCTTGAGCATTCCGTCCGCAGCCGCTTGCTTAAGTGGCCCCGTGTCCCTTTTCGAGCCACCCAATCCCTGACCGCGGCCTCCTCCGGGAGTGGCCCGCCAGTAGGGGGGAGGTCATACTACTTGATCGCGGAACCCACAGGCATCTTCCTGGAAAGTGGTGGGGATATGGCGACTATACAATGCCGTATATGCAGACAAGCTGGGGAAGATGTGTGGCAGGTCTGCGGAAGACACATGTGAGGTCGGATCCAGCATGCAGGCTGCATGGGATCAAAGAGAACATGACGGTTTCGGTCTTACAAAGGCGCAAGAAAAAAGGAGGAGGGGACTGAGCCGAGTAAGCCAGGCCTTGCCCACATGGTGCGCTTCGACACGAGGGGCGACCTTGGACTACTGTTTCACCCAGGTCCGCTGGACAAATGGATCGACCAGAAAATCCAGTGGAACACTGCCACCGAACTCGAACGATGGCAGCGAGAAGAGGGGGGAAGCCTCAACCAAGAAGAGGCAGACTCCTTCGAAGCCTACCGGGGGAGGCTTCGCACCAGACATGAACTGGGGAAGGCAGCAGACAAACTTGTCCGCATCACGGACAAATACCTCCCAAAGGTGACTAACGAGACGAGGGGCTTCATCACGAAGTACCCGCACAAGATCCACATGCTCCTCAAGCAAGCTCGGAGGATACGGCGGAAAACCCAAGTCCCGCCGACCCAACAAAAGGGGGAAAGCCAGCAGCTTGACCAAGAAGGAGAAGCCAGCCAGGGAGAAAGGGGAGACAGCGGCAAGCTCGAGCAGCAAGCCACCACCCAGAGACGTCCCACAAAGCAGTGGGGGGATGGCAGCAGCTGAGCCACAACACCGACGCGAAGATGGTCTGGCGTTTGAAGCAGAGGTCGACTGGGGGGACACAAGCAGCGAAGACTCGTCCCAGACCAGTGCCGGGCATGAGAAAAAGGAGTCCCCGAACCCACCCAACTTGGGGGTTCTGGCTCTGAAGGTTTTGCCCAGTTGTAGATGAACGCTGGTCTCGCCCTGCCGAACTGCAGAAGACCGCGCACACCAAGCAGGAGCCCGAGCAGGCAGGCACCCGCTAGATGGGCGATGCACAAAGAACACCGAACCGAAGCCCGCGACGAACCTCTAGACGGGGGAGTGAAAGGCCAAGGACGCCAAGCAGAAGCCCGAGACGCCCCGGGAGTGCGTCAGGTACAAGACCATATGAGCGCAAGTCGCGCACGGCGGGAGCGCACGTGAGGACGCAATCGTAGTTTTCCAATAAGGGGAGCCGACAGCAAAGAAGGGTTTTGTTGGGCTCCCAATCCTTGCCGGGGGAATGCACGCAGTTGTTTTTGTCCAACTTAAAGCAGCCACCAATTTAATGATTTGATGCAGCCAGCTACTAATTCGTTGCCACGCGCCGCCACCCTGCGGCGCCTGTTCCGAACACTACGGCTAATTCACTGCTCTGTTAATATACCAGCTCAGCCCAAATAGGGGGAATTAAACCCGGCCTTTTACAACAAGGGGACCTCCCACCGTAGTGCCTGCACCGTACTCGCTTTCATTGTTTTGTCTCCTACATGAAACAAAAAAGGATCCCGGAGCAGCCCCATTACATGCAATAGTACTATAGCTTGCATCGCTTGGTCCTCAGCGTGTTTGTACTTTCACAGGGGGCTGCCACCGAATACTGGAGCAACGTGGGGGGAAATTGCTTGGCGAGGGACTTAGGAACTAGCCATAGTGGGCGCGGTGATGAGGCCGGGATGCGGGCTAGTGTTCAGGGCTGGGGGGGTCCCTGCCAGTCAATCTCCACAGGCCACACCGAACATGGGGGAACAACCTCCAAACACTTCCCCAATGCCCCCTCTTCCACAATCGCGGAAGAGAGGGGGGGGCCTTGGCCCGGGTCCAGTGTACTGGACCTTACCCCGGAGAAGCGAAGCGAAGAGAGAGAGAGAGAGTGACAGCGACGCAGACTGCACTGAGTGGTGACGGTTTCAGGAGGGGTGTTTGTTGGAGGAGCGCCTTCACAGGCACTCGGAGGCACGTTTTTTTCACCCCAAGATGGGGTTGAGCTGACAGACCGTCGTGCGCTATGTGGATCCATGTGGGGTATACGTCTTCGGTCTCCAGGGACCCTAAACTCCTTCACAAGCAAGCAAGCAACAGACTGCAAGTGTTTTCCTGATTGAGACCTTGGGACCAGGTCTCGTGCGCGCGCAGGGGTGGGGGAGGGGTTTGACCTGCCCTGGCCTCAAAACCGGTGCAGAGAGAGCCACGGACTACAGGCGTAGAGCAACTTAACCCACCCCAAACGCCGTACAAGCAAGCAAGCAAGACACAGAGAGACAGACGGCATCCCTCAGTGCCTCTTCCACATTGCCAAGTTAAGACTTAACACCTCAGAGTACTTACTCAACAAAGTTCTCACGCCCTCTCAAAGCCCCAGAAAGTTTAGGGGGCCCTAGCGGAGAGAGCCGTTTTGCCGTCTGCTACTCCTGACCGGAAAACACGGCCAGTGCCGAGGGGAGGGGGCAGCTGATGATGTGGCAATACGTTGGTCTGCATACGGTTCTGTATCTACCGTATAATTATTGATGTGGCGGGCGATGAGCTTTCATGGGCCAACCGAGAAGCAAAGGGCGGATGGGCCAGTAAGTCGGTTTACGGAAAGCCTCGTGTTTGGCGTATCATCCTCAAGCTGCAACCGCTTGCATCCGTCAGGAAGCCGTGGCTGAGTGGCAAAACCATGCAGGCCTGGCACCCGGCCCGGCGCATCTCAAATCACCTCTAACCCGGCTTGCACGAAGAAGTGGATTTCGCAAAGACTGGTGTCCACGGCCAGGCCACGTGGCCCCTAATCTTACTAGTGCTGCTCTTGGGCGCTGCAGTGGCGCTGTTCCTTGGCTTTAGATTGGAAAGATGCAGGCGCCAGATTTGTATGAGTGCACGCGCAGCATTCTTGATCCAGTTTGTGTTGTTCACATCGGTTGGAACAAAGGTGCAGCTTCCTCGTTTACGTGACAGAGCTGTACAGGCTTTGTGCTTCGTTGCCGAGACATCGACACGATCAGGGGGGGATGTGGGTTTTAATGTTCTTATCCTGGGCTGTGTGCCTTTTGTTGTTGTTGACTTGATGACATTCTAGCTTCTGAGATCTGGGCTGGCAGCTCTTCGGCGTCATGGCTTCCTCTACTTGAAGCAGCCGATCTAAAGAATGCGGAATTGCTTACTTCTTAATTGCACTCGTGAAGCGAAACCTCCCTCGGAACCGTGTCAATGACACAATCTTGCGTATACAGATCACACTTTAAGGACCATCTTGAGTCGAGAGTTCGTGACGAAGCAGGGTGCGGCAGTCCATGTGCTAGAGCAAAACTACGTCTGTTTGCATGCGAAGGGTATGTGACTAAACAATGCAACAAGTGACGGTTCACTTTGCATCCTTCCCTGTCACTTACGTGCCGCAACGCGCAGGCGTCACTGCCTAGGAAGCAAGGGATTCTTGTGTCCCCAAGCCCAAGCGCCCAACAAGCAAGCAAGCATGATCGCTTCGCGAACCTTCTGGGCCGGACGCGACGAACGGCCCCCTCATGGGGACGGGGTAGGGGAATGCCCCTGGCTGAAGCCTGGAGCAAGCAAGACATCGTGCATGATGTACACTGACGGTATCAAGCGCAAGTACCAGCAAATCTAAGTACCCATTGGCAAGGCTCTGTCCTGGTTGGGCACCTGTGCGCAGCTTCGACAAGGAGCATGCAACTTCCGCCAGGGGTTTTGATGAGTTGCAGCAGAGAAACACCAACACTTACACTACCCACTGCTTCCACGTAGTATAGATTCAATCAGGACGGAGCTCCGAAAAAGATGACGTTCCTGTCTCAGCTGGCTGCTTGTATTTGCTCTGCAGCCGCGTCAACGGCTGAGCAAACCCGCGTTCGTTTTTAGCTAGCAGCTGGAACGCAGTCTTGTTGGCCCTCAGCTGTTCAAACCTCTTGATGACCGGCGACCTACAACAGCAAATTCACCGTGGACAAGATCGGCTTTGGATTCCCAGCAAAGAGCATGAATAACCGTGAAACAGAAATTGCATTCGTCAGGTAAAACTATGCTACAAGTAGTAGTCAGACAGTCGAGCTTCAACTCGAGTCTGTGTTGGCAGCCCAGAAATTCAGAGACCACTACTCGCGGGGAACACAGAGACTCAAGGGTATTCATGATGCTTGAGTTACGGTCATGCCAGGGCCAACTTATCCTGTCCTTTGGGTCTGGGACGTAAAGGCGCCAGGTGGCTGTGTCTTGCCATGCTAGAGTAACGACACCACCCATCTCCTGGCACACGACACGTCGTTTTGGCACAAGGGGCGACCCGCATCGAGGTACGGTTCTGCAGCCCCGGCTTCTCCAAAGAGCCAAGAGAAACTGCAGGCAGGTTGCACGCACGGCGAGTTCGCTAGTTAAATCGAAACTTCGAAGTGTTCAGGTACCCTGGGACACTCTTGAGAAGACATGGCATCCAGTCCATGGCGAGGTATGGAACTTGTTCACTTTGCAAGTCTTGTGCTTTGCTGACGTGCGTCAGGTGGAGTTCCGACCTGCATTCTGTGACACACAGTCTCCCGGACTACGATAGCGATCTGTAGCTGGAGGAAAGATTCAACATTGCAGGGAGGAGCGAGCATCCAAGGTACCTTCGCAGCCACAGCACATGGTGGGCCAGAGACGAGCCTCATTTCAAGGCCTCCCAGAACACTTTCGATTTGCATCTTTGCATCTGGCTCGACAAGTGGTGAACCGGTATCCGGGTTAGGAGCAGCTGTGAAAGTCATGCAGCAACCTTGTTGCCACATGTGAGGGCTATTGCAGTCCCTAAGGATATGCCAGCGTTCCGGATGCAACCAAAACAAGAACGTCCACAGTTATATCCCTGCTATTGTCGGCCATAGGCCGAACTCATCAACTCTATCTTGGACTGTTGCACTTTCTGCCCCTGCTACTGGCTGCCGAATCGACCCGACACCACCGCCAACAACGACAACGACAACAACAGCAGCAGCAGCAGTTTGCGCAGCAACAGCACCAGCACCAGCAGTATAGTATAGCAGCAACAGAGGGAATCGAGGACATGGATTCGCTTCCAGATTGTGTCGTATTGGCATCTTCGGCTAGGAAGATCGGGGGATGAATGCTCTCGAGAACTTCCGAGCAAGCAGCTAAGCAGAGCTCTGTGTCGTTATTTGGTTCCGCACGTTTAGATCGCCGCTGAAGTTTCCTTTGCTACGCCGACTCAATACTTGACGGCCTTGTCAGGCTGCCGGGCTCGTATGAGTGCCAGACGTGGGGCGGTGCGCTGGTCAAAAAACGTCCCAGAGCGCGGGGTAAGTGCAGGATCAGATTGTTTCTTGTTCTGTCTCACGCCAGCACCAGTGTCCGTGCGCGGCCGCTAGAAGTCAAGGCTTGGCCAAGGGGCCGGCAAAGGACAGAGTGAAGTTCTGCGGTGACTTTAGAAGCTCCAACAACCATTAGGGAAGGGCAGTGGAGTCTTTAAGTAGCAGTTTCTAGGGAAAGGTCCTCTGGCAGAGCTCGAGACTGCAGTTTTCGGGCCGACGCGACGAGACAACATGAGAAGCTTCGCTGCAAGCAGTGTTGTTTCCGGTGCCAGATGGATGGTGTGAGTGTGACCCGTACCGGGAGCTTCGCTACTCTCCGGCATCAGGTGAACTGCGAGAGAAGGAGAAGGCCAAGAAGCCCCGAAGGCTCGCCGGAGGGGCAGTCCCCATGCGTCCACCTTTAACTTTGCTATACGAAGCATACGAAGTCGTTGGCGGATGCCTGGTGGAACCCGTTCGGTTTGCTGTGCCGGAGTTCCACCAGCAGGTAGCAAGGCATCGATGGTTTAGCTTCTTCGGAGGTGTTCGAAGCAATCGAGCACCAATCCGTTTTGCCTCTTCGTTGGAGCCGCTTTAATTAGCCGATGTCGCCGGTGTTTCGGATGAGCAGAGAGGCAACCAATAATTTGTGTGCACGACCTGTTCACGCCCTGCCCACAAACAGTTGAACGTCGCCGGTCTTGGCATACTGGGGCCACTTAGGATGCAAATGCTCGTCCGCAAGCTGCATGTCGCACCAATATTATTGTGCACAAGCCTACCGCAAATGTCCGGCGCTGTTGCGAATGTATAGGATGTGAATTGACTCGTGATTACAGCTGACAACAGCTTACTGGTTTGTGGCATGTTGCCCACATGGTGAAACAGAGAGGTCCAACGCTGCCTACGACCTCCGCAAGCCGTTTCGGCATGGTAGCTTCAGTATCATGTTTTGCAAATTGCATTTCCTGGTTCAGGCGCGGTGGGGCAAGTGCCAATGTGGAGAAAGGCATCTTTAAGCCGGAATCTTTGATGTGGTTGCGTTCAATTCTCTGGATGCTCGCCCCAGAGCTCCGACCCACCACTTTATATGCGAGGAAAGCCGCTGCATCTTCGAATTTGCGCAGTGGTTGTTTGGCGGGGATTCGCAACATCACTGGCAAAGCTGTGCGTCGGGTTCATTTGTTGTTGGTAGATTCTGGTAGATGACAGAGGTTTGTTCAAGTTGTCCCATTCTGCACGGGATGTCGAGGACTAGGACAGGGGGAAACAATGCCGCATCACGGAGTTGCCTCGCACTGAATCTAAATCAGCCAAGGCCGTATCACTCCGTCAGCGTGCCGAAACATGCCCGGAGCCTTGAATTCTCGGCAGAAGACTTGAAGGGCGAAACAGAATGACGATTGTAGCTCTCACCAAGCTGCCATCGCGTGACACACCTGATTTTCAGTGAATTTCGGCCACATGCCTGCAGTCGACACAGGCGGATCTTCTGCACCATTTTCAAGCCGACAGGCCTGGATTGCATGTCTCGTGACCTTGCGCGAACATGCGCGAACCATGGCGATTGATTTCAGCCACAGCTGCCGTGATTGAAGGGACGAGCCATCAGCACTTTCCAAGTGACATCTCTTGCAAAGTTGTATCTGAGAGAAGAACCAAGCCACCGTGACAAAGCATCTGTGCACAGGCCAAAAACGACCGTCATGCTGCGGCCAGCACCTCAGGTTTAGAATGTGTGAAAAGGATGGGTGACGTGGATTTGTTTGCGAGGAACATTCCGAACCGGTACTCTCAGGCCGGAGCGTGCCGCTGCACAACAGCATCTTTCGAAGCCCAGCGTTGAGTGACATCACACGTGTTTGGAAGGCAAGCCTTCTGCAAGAAATCGACCTGGCCGGGTATCGTGGCGAGCTCCCCAGCAGCTCGAACTCGCTGCCCAAACAAATGCGCTCTAGAGCATACATCCTATACCAAGCCGTGATCCATGATTTATACTGTGTCAAAAGCTTGTTCATCTGGGTTTTTTGCCGTTCCATGCTCAACTGAGGGAACTTGCAGCACGCAGGGATGATCAACCCTTCTTTTCCTTTCAGATGCATAGGCTGCATAGCCGCGTAGCGTCATGTGGAAGAATGCATTCTAGCAGAGCCGTAAACACCTGCACTTGCTCGAAACTCCTGGACAGAATGTCAGGCGCACACCCACTATCACAAACACGCGAGCACAAGTTCACAGAGCGTTTCCACTGATGTACTGCTGTGGCACCAGCAGGTACCTACGACTTCTTCTACTTGCCCATGGACACTCAGAACAGGAGTTTGCTTCCACAATTTGTTGTGGACGTCGGCTTGTGGTCACTTGCGGTCACTTGCGAGGACAAACGTCGGTTATGCCTTCATCAACTTTCTCTCATCACCCGCGCTGGCCCCATTATCACACTGCACAGTAGTATCAGCGCACTTGGTTGTTAAGCACATGGTTCTGCATCAGCATCACTTCTCTCTCAATTTCGATTTAAGCTTGAGGCTGTGACTGCTGGATCTGAGGACCTGGAGCGATTTATGGTGGAGTTCGCCGGCTACCTGTTCCAGAACCACTCAAGCTGGCTTCCCAGCCGTTGTTTAATTCTGTGTGCCTGATGTAGTTAGCCCGTTGCGTTCGAACTTCAATGCAAGGTCAAAAGGTGGCCAGAGTCTCTTTGGCTCACATTCAAGGCTTTATCGAGAATATACGCCATTTCTCAAACCGTCTCAAACTCAGCTCTCCTTCCGAGACATCCAAGACACGACCCAGAGAATCGTTGCAAAGCCTGGCAAAGGTGCTGTGTCTCAATCCCGAAACAGCCAGTACAGGCACAACGGAGAGACTTCATGTCATTCAGCACGTCCCGGCCAGCTCCCCCATTGCACAGTGCATAGTAACAAGATTCTCTTGGCCAGGCCCATCGTGATTCACCAGGGCGTTCGAATGGACATTTCGGAGGTGCATCTGCTCGTGCAGCTTTGACAACTGCCAACATGTGTGAGCCATCACCTGCAACAGGTTCTGTCTCGGACTCTGTGTTAGTGCAGAGGGTCGCCCAGCATATGGCATATGCCGAGTGCGCACAAGTGCGATAACCTTCCCCTTCCCTGAACAACACTTCGCCTTGCGGCGCAGCCGCGTGGTCAAAATCAGGGCGAGAGTCTGGCCTATCTCCTAGCAGCCCTAGCACATTTGTCATTTTTGGGACCGACAAGAAGTTCTTATGATGCGCATTGGTTGAAAGAGCACCTCGATCTCAAGCCAGAAATTCAGACAAGGCCCCACCAAAAGCGACCGCTTGCAATGAATGCTGAACTTTCAACGAGTCAACGAATTGCCTTGAAGCCACGTCGGCGATGTAGTGCTCAGATGCGTAAGATGAAGACTGACGTAGGAGCCCCCGTCTTGAAAGCAAGCTACTTTTAGGCTACACTTGTCTAGTCGACATCGAGGTGGGCCGGGGCTCAGCACCCCAACAGACCTCACATCAGAAAGCCATGTTGCCGCTGGTAACGAGCGCAATCATCGAAAGAAGAAAGAAGGCGGTTGTGGCCTGTGTCGCGGCCTTGCCTTGCTGCAGGCCTACGACTTGCTGTGTTCCGTGCAAGCGGGACAGCCGGGGGCTGAGCTGCTGCTTTGCTTCGCCTAGCGCGAACCCTCCCTGCACATCTCGACTTCTTATTGAGGTCATCCCAGGACGATTCTGCAAAGGTACCTCTACCGCCAGGTGGAAGCCCGAGCTGTGGACGATATGACTTCAATGCCCGTTCGTCCCAAGAAGTTCGTCCCAGCACACATTTGTACCTACGGCGCAGTGTTGTAGTGGATTATGCTTGACTTCCGCTGCATTCCGTCACAACTGTCATGACTATTTGCCCCTCCCAAATTTTGAAACTAAGCGTACTTTCCGTGTGTCCTCCTGCAGCACCTGGCTAGGAAGTCTGGCAGTTGCTGAACCACCGGGCCTTTCGCCCCTCGACTGAAGTCCGATGTTCCTTTCCTGTCCACCTTAAAGCTCAGCTTAAGCTTCGCACAGTCGCGAGATGGCTTGGAAGTGCGTTAAGCGAAGCACTGCAGAGCCAGCTCTGCCGGTCTGCTGCGCTCCGAGGGAGAATTTGCCATCGATCTTGCCACACCTGGCATCTGGTCCCAGCACCAGTGAGGAGAGAACGTGATGAAGAGTGCTATGGGAGTGGGGGATGTGGGCGCGGGCCTGGGGCCAAGCACTGCCAGGACTACGCGGAGCGCTACTCTGAGGCAAAGAAAGGCCCGGTGCTGGGGGCGGCTGTGAGTTGCAGACGTGACGCGAAGTCGAAATGACGACTTGAGAAGATACTCTTGGCCCATGTGATGCAGGATTCGAGGAGGCTGTGTCTATGCTCCTCAGGCTGGGTGATGCTACACGTCTAATTACGGCTCGCTGCCTTCTCTGATGAGCATCAGCTGGTCACAGACTCCGTCATACAGGTCTTCGTGTTCTGGACGTGAGGCAGAGGCGACACATGCCTCGCAGTACAGTGCAGGATCATTGAAAATGCAGCTTGCGCTAAGGCACTCGAACGACCAGAGCTGCTCGGGACTCACTCCAGAGTTTGGACAGCGAGAGCCCTTCGTCGGGCTTTGACCTGCTCGGACGAAAGCGCTGGTTCTTATCAGAGTTCCAAGTCAAATGTTCTCAACATGGACACCACGAAGTTGGAATTAGAGACTTGTTGGTCAGTGTCCTGCAATGACAGGCCAGTCTTTTGCTAATCTACCGCTGAATTAATAATGGATGCTCATGGTTCTTTGTCAGGAATTCCGAAGTAGCTTACGATGCTCTTAGTCGGAAGGTAGTGATGCACGGCATCAGAACGGCGGCCGTTCAGACTTCATGCATTCCAGCCGCGGGCCATGCATAAGCTCGGCCGTGCATGCGCACAAGAAACTCGCCTGTGGAAATACACTGTGGTAGGCAGCCGCCGGGCGACAAGAACAGCATACCTGCTTCCGTGGTCAATTCGAATCAGCACCACACCCTCATCAGGTTCAAGCACCGTTAATGGGGTTGGAGGAGACCAGGGTTGGAGGAGACGGGAAAGTCTGCGCAGACGAGCCGAAGCTCGCCGGATGCTGGTAGAATGCAACCTGTCGCATCGATAGCCTTGACATGGACCCGAGGTCCAGCATGCAGAAGACTTTAAATCCTGCTGGAACAACCACCGCCCAAAAGCGACAGCCCCGAGGCTCCAGGCACTCCCGATATAGATACAGAAGTCTACGCGCAAGAGTCTTCGTTCCTGCGCCATGGCTCTTCCTCACGCCATGTCTTGTCCATGTGCAAGCTTTGCTCAACTCGTGTTGCCGAGGGAAGACGACGAACGCACGGAAGGATCTCACAGTCAGCCAGGCATGATGCATCTGAGTGGAGCTGGCTCATGCCAAGGGTGTCGTAAGAGCACAGAGAGTATCGAGTCGCCCGATCCTGCGCAGCTACTTGTAGCAGCATGTGAAGAGTTCGGGTCGCAACCACATGTCAAAGCCGAAGACGCTGCACGAAGGGGTCATTTGTGTGCAGGCTCACCCCGGCGCATTTTTCAGGGCCTTGGGCTTATCACGGCGGCAAACGACGCAAGGTTTGGAAGCCGTTGCATATTTTTTTCGTGACAGGGTCACATGCGAGTGGAGAAAGACCAAGGTGTGCCTGGCGCAAAGAACATCCCAGTGCCGTTCTTCCTCGGGGAGAGCCCTCAAGGCAAGGAAAGCAGAGAGCCGGCAAAATTGAAAGTCCCCAGCCGCGTTTTTGGCCGCGTTTTGCCAGGCGGAGCCGAAGCCAGCGATTTGGCGACACCTCGCACGAACAGGACCGGACGGCTGACTGCCTTTGGAGACGCAGGGCTTCTTCTTTTGCCCCCCGTCCTTTCTCGAAGCTTGCCGACTGACGGCACCAGAGCAGGGCATCAAACCAGCAGGCCAGAATGTTTCATGGCACTGAGCAGATTTCGTCGTCTCTTGCGCAGGACTCTGTTCGTACACGGGCGATTCTCGGCTTGAGTGGGGTGAGTGCATGGACCACCGGTCCCATTTTGCAGGGCCATCGAACCATGTCGTGTCGTGTACATGGTCGCCCCACTGGACTGGTCGAGCCCTTGGCCTTCGACCTCCAGCAACTCTTGGTGCAAGGGCTTCCCGCGGCGGTCTTAGTCCTAGAGTCCCAAAATCATGACCAGGAAACTTCCGTAGCAATGGTCGGCAGGTCACAGCAAGTAGCAGCATGATTTCAAGACCAGCCGGTGCCCTTGCGCAAGTCATACCGAATCCGAGTCCGAAATTTGCATCGATCGGAGTCCGCCTCTTGGAGAGAGTGATCGTGCTGCGACACTGCCAGAATGTACTGTATATGGCTTCTTTACAGCAAAGGACCGTGTGAACAGCGTATCCTAGCAAAGAGCAGGGTGCGCTTTTCACTCTTTCATCTCTCATTGTTCTTGAGGGGAAGCTGGCTTGCGGCTCCTCATCGCACGATCCCGCAGCGTTTTCCGACGAAGTTGCGAAGGTAGGTCTTGGTAGGTTTGGCATGGCAGGTTTTTGGTAGATACGAAAAATTACCGGAAGGATGCGAGAGGCTGCGTAAGTTAAGGGCTCAGCGGCCAGTAGGACATGCAACCTAAGTTCCTAAGTCGTGTGCCTATGTGCTGGAACGTGTGTATACGTGGGTGTTGCTGCATCTGCATCTGGTCACACACTAGTCTTCCGTGCATAAAGCCTTGTCATCATAAGTGCAGCTCCCAGCCTACTTCGTCGGACGACTCGGGATATGTTTACAGCTCCGTGCTGAAACGGCAGTTTCAATTGCCGAAGGAGGCGGTGCCAGGCATGGAAGGCTATGAAGGCTTTCCTTGTGGAGCCTCTAATCTCCTACGCTGGGTGCTCAAATCCAGGATGCCTCTGCGAGGCCTTGTGATTTCCACGACTCGCTGCACGACGTCACAACGTAAGAACACTCAAACTAGACAAGAGACGGGCTCATCCGCTGCACTGTACGAGGAAGTTGCTATAACAATTGCGGCTGAGGGTTTGCTGTTGATTGCTCCGTAGCTTTTCCCTTTTGCCAGGCACCCTCATAGTTGACAAAGTGAGTTAGGCCCTAGACTGGGCAGCTCATGTGTTGGGACTTGGAACTCGTGCATCTAGATAGTGAAGCAAGTGCAGCGAGTACTTTGAGCTAGTCCACTGCGACTGCTCGTGGTTTGCTTACTAGCGCCTCGTCGACATACCGTCTATACTCAAAATGCTGTACATTGGTCTGCGGCTGGGCTGCGCCTTGCTGGCTCAGGTTCGGAGGCCGATCAAGCATTGCGGGGTTTCAGTTGGGTCGTCTCCCGCACCATCTTCCTTGCAGCGTGCAGAACGTGCCGCCGCACTTCTTCCACATCCGATCCAACCTTTTTGCAGAAGCAAAGTGTAGTGAGAAATCTGATATTGCGTACCTTTCCACTTCCGCGGGCGTTCGACCTGACCAGCACTGGACATGTGCATAGGCCGGAGCTGCTTACTTGAGCAAAAGTTATGTGTAGCTCGGTGTCCGTGGAAGTGCTTGGAGGGACAGGACAGGCCGTGGCCCCGTGTCTTACAGCCGAGAGTCGCACAGTCTCGCTGATCGGTGAACTGAAGCTTTGACAGGAACCGCAAATAGCCTTGCATGGCCGCTGGCGAAGCTGTGCTCAACTGCAGACTCGGTCGGCATTGGTGCCGCGGCGCGCTACCAGTAACAGGCAAAACGCAAAGACGCGTGCCTACCGGCTTGCCACGCCTCTGACCGACTGAAGCTGGGGGCTGTTTGCATGTGATTTCTCTTGAGGACACTGAAAGGAAACCCGTTCCTGTGTCGGCCTTGTGTGTTCCGTGCTACTGGAGATGGTATGAGAGATACTGCCAGGCCACTAGCAATTTTAAGAGTCCTCCTTGGCATGTTGCGCCGTGTTCTGTTCAGCAGTGTACACGCAGGGAGTGTAGGCCTGATGACACATCGAAGTGTTGCGTGCGCCGACTCAGAAGGAGAACAGAGAAGCTGCGCAACAGGGTGCTGATTCCTGATGCTTTATGTGCTTTGCTGTGGCTGCTTGCACAACTTGGATGCGAAAAGGAAATCAAGACCCCTTGGCTCTATATCCGACGCCACCACTTCGGAAAGTTTGACGTGGGAGATTGCTTCTGGCATGTTCCGAATGCAGCGATGCCGAACTCATCTCCAGTGTAACCAGGACATGCACCAGCTGTGTAGCATCAGAGCGTGAGCATCGCCATGGAAATTCCTTTGTTCGCAGATGGCCCAGCAGATGCATCGACTACCTGGGTCTTTGCCTCAGGAATTTGCAGTTAATGTAAAGGTATTGCTGCAGACCTTGCCAGGCTTGTCCGAGTGTGATTGTCAGTAAAGGTGTGGTGGCTGTTGCTGCTGTGTTTATCCGTAATAGTTTGTCTATGTTTGTCTCTTCCGTCCCTAGAAACGAGAGTCGGATTCCAACGACAGGATTGATTTTTAGGTGCTCGGTTCTAGTTCCCTTTTAGGGCTTGGTTGTCGTTCCGTGCGAAGTATCCGCCATAAGTGCTGATACCGCCTGAGGCGTCCGCCCGGTTAGTTTTGTGACGTTGTCCTTAAACCCAGCTCGTCGTTGTTGCGTCCGCCATATGAGCCGACGTTATCGTCCGCCATACGCGCCGGCGCCATCCTCTTTTAACCGATTGCTTGGGTTGTGTGAACCTGCAGACTTTCCAGCATGTGGGTGACGAATGGTGCAAGGTTGGTGCACAGAGAGTCCTGTTTGCACGTTCGAGACGTTGGATAGGCTCTATGAAGATAGTGATTGTCTTCTAAACCAGAGGCTACTGTCGCCTTAAATAGTCGCCCGGGTTAGATTATCCCAGCCTTGGTCCAGCAATGCGAACGTGTTGACGTATCTCGGCGACTTGCTGAGGGCCAGACCGCCGAGACCATCACGTTGTCGGTGCTGTCCACAGCATGTCTATCATTGTGCGTGTGTTTGTGTGTGCGTGTACGTAAGTGCGGGCTATTCTTCCAATCAGGTGCCTCTGCCGCCGTCATCAAGGAGAGCCGGCAAGCACTGTCTCTTGCTTTTGAAGTCACCTGGGCCCCAGCTTCGAAACTGCGCCCCGTGCCGCTGCTGGAGAAGGCCACGCGTGAGTTTCAAGCCGCGGCGCTTGGTCATTGCGACGACGACAGCTGCCGCGATCTCAGGTTCGGAGGTGTGCGGTTGCCTCGCGACGCCTTGTCGCATTTCTTTTCCATAGCTCCTCAAGCTTTGAGCTTGGACTGGGATCGAGGGTGGAAGACTACCGGACTTCGAACTCGAACTGCTACCCAGAGTTTGCACAGCGGTCGACTCGACCCAGAAGTCCACGAGCATATAGTTGCGACAACAGGCATAGTTGACGAGCCATAGCTTTTATCTTCCTCAGATTCTTGAACTCTTTTGTGTAAAGAGACTGGGCACTGCAACCGCCCGCCGCGTCTGAAGGCTCTGCCTGATCTCGCTTTTTGAGGCCGCGGCCGCCGAGGAAGTGCTTCTGGACTGCGAGCTTTGTGGCGAAATATCTACACAGGAAGCGAAGACTCGCGCGGGTTTGCTGGAAGCTACTTGTACTGCTGTGGGCAGACTAGCAGCTGCTAGGTAGTTTCAATCGGAGACCAGTTGAGTCCCCAACAGTGTCTGGAGATGTCTGGAGCACGCGCATTAGCATCTTGTCACACTGGGAACACCGTTGTTGGCAGGCGTGTGTGCCATGCACACCTGAAAGATTTGCAGGCAATCCTCACAACAGCAGTTGGACGTTGGACTGCCACATGTGCTTTCCAAGTTTGAAAGTTACACTTGCCGCTACCTGCAGCTCAGCAAGTCCGCTCGAGATGAACGGAAAGAGTTCTGTTGTGGTTCATCGGTTCACGGAAGCTGTGTATCATCACGTCGGGAGGAGAGCTGGTGGAGCTTCAGCGATGGGGTCTTGGTCCTTGAGCTGATGAAAAGACCGTGCGAAGGCAGATTGCGGCAGATAGCCTGGGTTCAGTGATGCTTTGGCCCCGGCGCAGTCGCGAATCCATCTGTCAGGTGAGATGCCGAGCTCCCTGCTATGTTCTGTCCAGCACTGTGTCCTGTGCCGGGAACTCGCATATTGACAATGCCAGGTGGTGGCCGTCAGCAGTACCCGGTGGGAAGCAAGGACCTCCAAGAGAGGTTTCTCGACGGGAGATTCAGACGACGGCGCAAGTTGATACCGCATGTGCGCGCCATTGCACACGTCTCCTGCGTGAGCCATTGACAGATGCTACCAGTAGCATGACAGCAAGTCCAGACTCACACACAGCTCTGCTCAATGACCAACTAAGGCTGCACGGCCAGATTTGCAGAGACTAGATGCGAAAATCGGAGAGCATGCCTGGCAATTGTTGCTGTTTCTTCCGCGGTCTTCTGGTGAGTCTCATCATTCATGCGGCCAGGCAAGTTGTGAAACCTGGACAATTCGAAGGCAAAAGCAGCTTTCGATGGTGAGCAATGTGGCCAGCAAAAGGCAGGCAAAGCCCGGCCGGAGATAGCTCGCAAATCGCCCAACGCAAAAGAGAACATGGCATCAGGCACTCTTGCAATAGAAGCTCTAGTGGGATTCAAGTGACTCAACTGCAGCAGTGCTCCACGCAATAATCGCCTGGTGCTGCCAACTGGTCCTGCCCAATGCAGTTTAATCGGGTCCGTCAGGGAATCCGAGTGTCCTCTGCAAGCCGATGTGGGCAGCCCATGGCGCAGGAGGGACTGTCCAGATGCGTCTGTCAACTTCTGGCCACATGCCCTTTGCAGGAGACGCCATGGTCCAAGATGCTGGGCTCGGGACAGGCTGACTCCCTGACATGCTTCACTGCTTCACTTTTGCCCGACAAAGCTCTGGTCCGAACCTTTTGACGACCAGCCTAAACCGTGCTCCGTGCCTGGCTCCCACATTCTCTTCTGACTCTCCTGTTTATGTGCTTTCTCTTCAGCACGTTTAATTCTCGCTGAGACGTTCTCGCCTGAGGTCACTGTCCTTTCTGCTGACCGCGGCGAAGTCCTTTAATTCTCCCTCCGCTGTTTAGTTACGTCCCTTGCATGCGCACGCTTCCTAGGGTTCACGTCTGTCTCGCACTTTAAGATACAAGCTTCTCAACACCAGACAATCAGCCTCCGTTGTGGCGCTGCATTCACGATGCGTGCCAAAACGAAAACTACATGTCTGACTTTGGAAGCTTCTTTGACTTCCTTAAGTTGGCCGGCATACCAGTTCGGAAACAACTGGGTCTTCGCCTCCTTTCTCGACCAGTTGTTTTCATTCCTTCCCTGCTCTCCCTGCCCTCACTCCTCACTCCCTCTCCACTTTTGGGCATCTATGACCCCTTCTAGTAGCAGGTCGTGTTTGGGTGCTTCTCCGCCGATGTCTTTTCACCTACAGGTTTGACTAGTCTATGGTTCTTCAAAAGCCGTGCTTACTGCATTGCTTGCCTTGAACGGCGTAGCTTTGCGTTTCGTCCGCCAGAGTGAACTTGACTTTGCAATCAGACTTCAGGCTGAGACAAAGTCCCAAGCAAGACCGAGGATGAGAGCCAACGGTCGTAGTTTCAAGTGCTGTGGGAATGTACATGTCAGGATGTCAGTTAGTAATGCACTGGCTGCAGCATGACTGGAGAAAGTGGATGTGGCACCAATGACCCCTTCCCCCCCCCCGCAGTGTTTTTTGTGCATTTCCGGAGATTCACTTCCAGATGCGGTGAGTTCAGGCATCAAGTTCGAGTCCTCAGAGTCGTGAGATGCTCGCCGTGCTATTACGTAGAGAGAGAGAGAGAGAGAGAGAGAGAGAGAGAGAGAGAGAGTCAGTTTGGGAATTCTGGCCCATGCTCCTTTCCCCGGAGCAAAGCAAAGCAAAGTTTGGGAATTGGCTTTGGAGGATCGAGGTTTTAGAAACATACCAACTGTGTAAGTATGCAACACTTGTCGAGCACGAGTGACAAAAAGTATGCAACATGAGAGTTGGTGTGAGAGAGTGTGGATCTCGGCAAGCCCGCATCTTTCGGATGCCAGGATTGTGGCGGGTAGCTTTCTGCCAAGTTCGCGCTGATAAACATCGGAAAGATGCCAGAGTTCCTCAAAGTTTAGTTTGACATGCAACCAGTACACTACTTGAGTTCGGGTTGCCGGAGATTCGTCTGCAAAGACAGGCACGATCTTGGGTCCTGGTCGTGGTGGGTGTGCTCATCTTGCTCAGGCCTGGTCGCTCAGAACCGTTGTAATTTCACAGGGTATCTCGGTCCGTTCCCAAGTGTGCTTGTGGAACTCGGGGGTCTGGTTCACATGCAAGATGCGAGCTGACAGGGCTTGGACTTCTCGGTAGCTACCCGCTGCACATCGCAGCTTCGTGCTCGAGTCATCCACGTGCCTAACCGTGAGGGTCAGCAAGCCGCAGATACACAGCCCTATCTGCCGAATGCGAGCTCGCGAAAAAGATGTCTAGATGCTGTGTGCTGAAGCTGTCATGCTCCTTTCGAGTTTCTTTCTCGAAGGCTTCGTTTGATTCTGCTGGCTGCAGCTTTGCCACTGGTGGCATATTGGCTGGAGGCGATCTTCTTTCGGTCTCGTGTGGAGCGCATTGTGGTTTCCGGTCACCGCGCAACGGCCAGGTGAACTCACCAAAGGCTGAGGCAACGCGACCAGAATTATCCGGAGGAGTTGAAGGAATTAAGCTGTTTTGAGCTTGGAGGAGGAAGCTGCTGAAGAGGACGCCGAGCTCGACGAGTCTGACGAGCAGCTTCATCTTGAGCATCCTGCACACCAGCTTTTGCTCGTTACTGTCTAGAGTCTTGGGCCCCCTGCCTAATGCTTAGGTTAGAACAGGAAGACGAAAACAAAGAGGCCAGGCTACGATTCGAGAGACTACGCATGGATGGTCATAGACGCAGCTCAAGTGATGCAGGATGCCGCAGAAATCTATGACCACGGTTTTTGGGCAGACAAAGTGCAGCCAGAAACCCAGCATGAAGTCAAAGTGCAAAGCGCACTCCTGGAGGCGTCAAGCGGGCATTGCTATTGCTGGTCTTCAAAAGAGTGTGTATGAGTGTGTGATCCACACAGCACCGCAGTCCACGGTAGATGAGGGGACGCTGCACTGCAGGCTCTAACCGCACGGTTCGTCAGAGCTGCGCTGAGGTCCGACAGCAGAGTGCGGACCTTAGAGCTGGCAAACGAGACACAACAAGACCGTCTTTTTCGCTTGTTTGCCGATCTCAGACGTTGAAAAGTCAGGATGCTATGGTTGGTTCAGAGAAGAGGGTGCATCAACAGATTGGTATGTGAGGCCGAAGCACCGCGCTTTTGGCAAGACTGAGCTCAGATGGTAAAGTGGAGCAGGCACTAAGACTGATTAGGGTCGGAGCACGAAAACGTCTGCCCACGCAGCGACTCGGTGTCTCCCGACGAAGGCTGAGTGCATTAGGCCTTTGCTCAGCGCGAGCCTGCTATCTTCCCTTCGAATGCGCCGCCAAGCAATCCGAAGCCAGCCCCGTGTACTTTCAGTTCCCTCGTCCGTGGTCTCGCCCCTGCTTTGTTTGTGGGTAGCTCCTTTCCGGCCTCAGCCTGGGGTTGCTGCAATCTCCTCCTTCGCGACTTCAATGCAGAGTGCGGTCTCAGAACTGGTCCATCGGCAATCCAAACAGGGACTCCGGCCCAGCCAAATACTTGGGTTGACATGCCTCGTTGCCGTGCAAGCATGAACCCAACCCTCACTTTTGCTGACACGTGCTTGTCCTTTCCGGCTTTCCTCATTTTCCTCCTTCCTTATTATAGGCCTTACTTGCCTTCTTTACCCTCCTCCCTCACAAATTTGACAAAGGACTTGGGCTTCTCCTGGGAAGGCCGTGCGAGCTAACGTGCCTGCGGTGGTGCAAAATCAGCAGATGTGCATGTGGAGGTCGAGACGAGCTTGACGACCTGCTGGACCGGGACCTGGACTCCCACCACAAAGGCAGCTGAAAGCAGCTCCGGTAGACGTCAGTTGGCGGAGCTATCCGAGCTGTGCTTGCTTTCGAGTTGACAACGAGCCGTTTACAGATGATTTGCACATGGAGCAAGGTCAGCTGTGTAATCTTGTAGACCCTGCTGTCCCACATGCCACCCTGTATGCTTGTAGCTGTGAAACAAGCCTAGCAGGCCTAACACAAAGATGAATGAAGCCCAGCAGATTCGTACATTCGGTAAGCATGTCTGTACAAGCTTGAGATGTAGCACGTCTTTATGCCGATTGCATGGAGGCCGGAAACCTTGTCTTTGTGCGTCAGGGTAGTCGGCGGTCTAGCAGGCAAGACGCTTTTTCAGGTGGTTTGCCGAAGAATGAGTTAGTCGCATTTACTGCTCTCTCTCTCTCTCTCTCTCTCTCTCTCTCTCTCTTCCTCGCTGTGTGGTCACGCGAGCTACCTCCTCTTCCAAGTCATAGGCTGCTACAGGCTACTGAAAAGCCTTAATGACTGATGAAGGTCGAAGTCGTACCAGTAATAACTGTCGTCAAGGCATCCGCCTCGAACTTCTACCAGCTGGGACTGGGCCATCTCCACGGCCAGTCCCTCACAGCGCTGTCACACAAGGTGTTCGTGGATTCCTTCGTTCTTCGATCTCGTCAGCCTGAGCGCTCAATTTCAGGCTCTGTACTGGTAGGTTTCTAGTGCCAGATGGCAGTTCGAGCAGGATAGAGACTTGATCTATCCAAAAAGAGTCTGAGTCCAGTCCCTTCAGGCACCCGGGTCACCCGAGGTCTACCCGAGACCATCCAGCCGCCCCATCCGAACGTCCCGTTTCGATTTTTCACTCCGGAGTTCATAAAGGCTGCCTGTAGTCAGAAAACGCTGAGGCGGCGATGTGCGTGCGGCCTATGAGGTTCGTGGGTGGGGTCTGTGTCAGAGTGCCAGATATCTGCCACAGATGCCGCACAGGATTTTCGCGAAGCCGCGCGGATAGATCCCACCGATTTCGAAATTTGGCAGAAGTACGAAGAGACGTACAGGCAGGGGAACGCCGGCATGATGGGGTCCGATCATGAATGTACTGTACAGACACCTTTTGCAGGCAAGTCGAGGGTGACATTGCAGAGCAGCTCGGAGCTCAGCTAAGTTGCAGAAGCTGCAGATATACATATATAGACATATATACATATACACACATTCACACACACACACACACACATATATATATATATATATATATATATATATACAACTCGCTTCGTGCGCGCAAAAACTCATTGTGTTCAAGCCGCTCTTGTCTCTAAGGTCGCTATAGGTAGCCAGTTCGCAAAACTTCAACTTGTGAGCCTAGGCACCGGGAGCACAACGCCGACCGCACTGTGCGATCCTTGCGCGCACCTCCAGAGCGACAGGCAGAACTCAACGGCTGATGGGTGGATATGGTAACATAGATTGGGTCATTTGCCAGGGCGCACCGTGCACGGCAAGTGATCGGTTGTTCGGATGACGATAACCATAAAGCCGTAAAGCTTGAGTAGACTGCGCAGTGGAGTGTGATGCTGTTTCACGACAAGTCAGGTTGAAGTCTCTTCGTCACCTCCGCTCGATCGGGTTGGTCATTGGGGTTTCCCGCTGGAGTCGCTTAAAGGCCGAGGAAGTTGCCAGGCCATTGATGTGGGGCCATGGCCCCACTCGGACCGACACCAGACTCCAAGAGGCAGCCTAAGCTGCTCAATCTCCACTTTCTTGGCCGTGTCAAACTTTCTTTGGAGAGCTTTGAGATGACTCTCCTAGCAGATACCTCTCCGTAATTACCTGCCCAAGAAGGAGAGCGGTCGGTGGCCATGAATGTGGAGTCTCACCTCCATCTTTTGCCGATTGCGTTCTTTGCTGACCTGCGCCACAGCCTTGGAGGTCAAAGCACCGCGCCACTTCACCTTGAAGGCCACCGGCAACAGTCGGGCGAATTAATGCATGGGAATGTAATTGGGGTCACAGAAGATATGGAAGACACTGCGCGAGTCATGGAATCTCAACACGGCATCGAGTGTGGTGGAGCCTGCATGGCAGCAGGTCAGCAGGAGCTTCTCAGCTTTAGAAGCTGCCGGTGAGGATGTGGACGAGGCTGCGTGTGCATGCAGAAGTCGAAGATCAAGCAGAACGCCTGATTTCAGGAGAATGCACGAGCAGTGTTTCTTCGTGGTGGCCGAAAGCCTAGAGAAAGAGAGAGACAGAAGAAGAGCGAGAGAGTACCTTGCTTGGCTTGCCTTGCCGCAGACAGACTTCCAGTGCATGCTTGCGTGCGGGGGGAGACGGCTTGCCTTGTCTCTCTTGTCTGTGTGAAAGAAGGGTTCCTTGCCTCTGTCGAGCGGGAGTGCAGGAACGGCCTGCGCTCCAAGCCCTTCAGCAAAGCACAGATACACTTGCCTCCACACGGGGGCTCGCACCTAGCCGGGAAAGAAGGCAAGAGAAGCACCTGCTGTGTCGGGGAAAACCGCTTGCTAGGGAATCCCCTTGGAGGGCTCAAAACAAAATCTTGCAGGACATGCCCCCCTAAGTGCGTTCAACGTTGAGCTCTTTCTGATCAGTCATGGGAGGCAAAAACAGGGCTACGACAGTAGCCCGGGCACCCAACAGACAGAAAGAGGAGCGACAGAGAGAGTGAAAAGTAGAAGTTTAGTTTCAGGTGGGGAGGTGGGTGAGGCGGGGGAGCGATTCAATCACGTAGAGGAGTAGAACTCCCAGAACTGGCACAGACTGGGCAGAGCCGAGTAGGAAAGCCAGGAAGCCCTCCAGCCTACACTTGCCGTCCTTCGGCAGCTTACCTCGATGTCCGGAAGAGGGACGCAATGTGTTGGAGGGGCATACTTCCTGAGATGTTGTGCCGAGCTTTGATGGGTTTTCCGAATGTTGTAGGAAGAGCTTGTCTTGTCTCTGACCCAAGGCAGCCTCTTCACGAGTCAGCAAGTCGACGTGGAAGTGAAGGCTTGGGGATGTCTATTGCTGATGTCTATTGGTCTATCGGAGCCGGAGACGCGCAGCCCCGCGGCCCCGGAGCAGGATGAAAGCCTGGAGTCGGCAGCCTCAGCTTCTCAAGAGCCTGGTGGCCTCGTGGTCCAGAGTCGGTGCTGCACCTGTGCACATTGAGCGCACTGTCTTCCGAGTGGAACAGGTAGGGTTGCCGGGCGGAGGAGAGGAGAGCGCAAGGCAGCATTATTACAGGCAGAGAAGCCCGAAGAAGGCTTAGGCTTGGACGAAGTACGGAAGGCCTTTCCTAAACCAACGTGCAATGAAACTTCACCTGGACCTTTTTAGATCTGCCGGTCCAATCCACTCCGACGCTGAAGAAGGCAAGAGACTCGTTCTGGGGCACCGAGCGATTCCCAGGATGATAGCCACCAGCCCGCGACGATACTTCTTCATCTTGCTGGTGGCAGTCTTAGCGGGAACTGAAGTGCTTAGTGAAGTTTCTGTGTGAGAGGCAACGCAGGAATCCCCTTTGAAACTAACTCGATTTGGTAATTTTGCACACCAAAGTCTCTGCCTAGAGCCTTGCGTGGCGCAGGAACAGGCTTGCCAGCATCAAATCCCCGATATGATGTCACGGTCTTTCATGGCCATAATGCGGCAAACCTCAGCGAGATCTTGTCTTCGGAGCTATCGAAGGCTTGGTCCTTGACCGGGCTCCTCACTGTGTACCATTACCGCTCGTTGGAGGGAGCGAGGCGCGAACACTTGCAAATCGAACAAGAACTTGGAAATTACATCAGGTGTCATGGAGAGCAGCTGAAATTACTGCAGGTAACTGTCAAACAAGCCCAACGAACCATTCCTGCAGTCCGGCCCGCTTCTACTTTCTGCGCTGGCAGGAAGATGAACCCGTTGGAGGTGTTTGGGTGGGTGGCGCTAGACGCCTCCTCAGAGCAGTGCAGCACCACATGTTGCTCGGGAAGAGTCTCGGGAAGTATATGAACTATTTCTGAGGTGCTTGCAATGCTGGTTTATGCCGTTTGGCGACATCACCAAAGGCTCGCAGCCGATGCGGCAAAGACAGCTAAGTCAACTCCAACGCTGGATACTCGAGGCCGTTCCGTCTTCGAGCGTCGACTCCCTGGTTTTCAATCCTTGACATTGAAGCTTGCATGTTCGCTTAGCAAAAGGTCTGATGTGATCAAGATCCTGGCAGTGCTCGTCATCCTGATCTGCGCGTTGTATCACATTGCTCAGACTGCAGAGAAGCAAGCTCCACACGAGCACATGCCTGACCCATGAAAAAAGCCGCTGCGCAGCTGAGAGCGATGCAGGCTTATGAATCGGGTCTCGTCTTCATCTCCGAAAGTGCTCCAGGCTCTCATGAAGCCAGAGAACACAAAGAGACGCTGGACTTCGACTTCGGTTTAGGTCGGGGGGGTTCCGGCCGACGCAATGTGAAGAGTTACCGGAGGTGTAGAGGTATGGAGCATACGGGCAGGCGGAGACACGAAAGACAGGGACAAGGGCTTCGGCGACTTTGGTCTAGGCACGCGTTCGCTAAATGATTAAGCCTCTATTGCTGTGCTGCATGTTGCCTCTTCACAGCTACGACTGTAGGTGGCCGCATGTGGAAGACATTAGAAGTGGTACCTTTTGACTGTGTGACTAGAAAATGCGACGCAAAGCTCGCCAAGAGTGCCTCTCTGGTGGCTTCTTCCCCAGCTGTGCAGAGGTGGTGCAAAACTTCAATGAGATAGAACGAACTTGGTAGCATGCATGGCTGCATGGGCGGCCAAGGCGGCCGTGCTCCCAGGGGCACGTCCAACGGAGCCCCGAAACAAACAAGATAGATGACCAGATCGTGCAGCTTCTCCGTTTTGGTCCGGAACCAATAACAAACATGGCATGCCCTGCCGGTGTTTCCTTGTAGCCTATCCGTCCCTGGCCCTCGATCCATCTATCCATGGCAAAGTGGCATTTTTCGGAATTAGTGATGTCGTCATCTAAGTGTCAGGCTTTGAGAAGGACTTCGGCTACTCGGCAGATTGTGATGTGCGGAACCTGCGAAGAGACTCCGACAGTTGGAGCAGACCGAGGTTTGGACCGAGAGCCGGACTTTGACTTTGGCCCCAGTCTGGGCAACGGTCGCCCGTCCAAGAACTGCCGAGGCTGTGTATCCGGCTGGCTGCTTCAAATTCTGAGGACACAAGGGGAAAGGCAAGGACAGAGATGGAAAGGATTCTCATAAAGGGAAATCCAAGGACCGCTGTCACATTTAGATTCGTTCTTTGTGGATGGACTTCAGTGGAGCGGCGGGCTGCAATGCACCACTGCAGAAGCACGTTTTTTTGCATGTAGGCAGCTCTTGTCCCTCCTCTGGACCGAACCCCAACGACAACTCTGAATACACCTCTGCGAGGAGCCTCGAGAAGCGGACCCAAAGCAGGCCGACCTATGGCGTCAGTACAGAGGCTTCCTGTGGAATTGCAAGATCCCGTTTCTCAGGTTTTCGTGGCGAACATCGGGGAAGCTCACGAGGAGAGAACGAACGGTTGCTGGCTAACGGCGCGGCTGCTCTGTTGCGGGGAGGACGATCTCCGGAGCTTCTTCGAGGATGCCGGAGAGGTGCGAGCGGAGGGTTTTGTGCTTTATCTGAGAAGGGGATGCTACCATGGGATGACATCCACCACGTTTACAGCCTCCAGTCGCCTGAGCTGCAAGAACTTGACGAGAAGTATATAAAATGACGTGGAAGCAGCGGCATTGCCCAAAACTGCAGTAGCCATTAGTTCCAACATGCACACTGACGATGGTGTTCGTTTCTGTGGCACGGATGACTGTGATGATAATGGCGAAAGACCCGATACTGATATGTTGTTGACGGTGCAGATGATCACGATGGATGCGACGATGGGCCACAAAAGTGATTTGCCGTGAACGAGGGAGGGGGTGAGGAGGTTGTTGCAACTGCGGCATTTCACCTTAGGGCCATCTTCTCCAACACCGCTGTCAATCACAGGTTGAGCGGCTGAAGGTCTTGCGGAACCCAGACGGCGGGTCCAAGGCCACCGCTCCTCTTTTGTATAAGAGTGCAGCATTCCCCTTGCATCTATGTGCGAAGTGGCTTCCCTTGGTTGGGATCGGTACAGACTTCGAGGCTGACACTGTTTTCACCTGGTTTCCGGGAGTAGTACGCATGAGTTACGTCCACATATACAGCGTTGATTCGTGCTACTTGTAGCGTGAAACTGATGCCTGTGTGTCGTGAGCGCATATCGTATGATTGCAGGTATCTATTATGTCTTTCTTTTTGTCCTGTCTCTGGTGCCGAACGGCTACGACAGGGTGTTGCATGACAAATACAGCTTCAATGCAACGCAAATTGCAGCAATACGTGTCCAGGGGATCGGCTTCGTGACCTTCCGCACTGAGGAACAAGCCCAGAAGGCAGGTGCGGGCAGGGTTTCGTAAGATTCACGATCGACGGCCGTGGTGCAACTGCAGCATTAGCTCCTGAGCGACGCCGCTCCACTAGATTCGGACGAGATGTTACATCACATGCTCCATTGCTCTTGAGGCGCTCAGCTTTCACAACAGGCCGTTTGATGGCGGTCATATTGTCGTGCGGTTGGCGCACGGAGGACAAGTGTCGGAGCTTGTGATGTCTTTGAGCATGTGAACGGTTACACAGCGACCCGGCGCGGAGGAAAGGGAAAAGGAGATCGTGAGAAGGGTGAGAAGGGCGACAAGGGGGAAGGACGCGAGGGACGAGGCCGGCAGCTCTGAGGCATCCTACAAGATCAAACACACCTAGGCGAAGCAGCTCCCGGGGATGCCTTGGCTGACTCCATCCGGTTGTCACTGCATGGTCCTGCGCAAATATCGACTTCAAACAGAGACCCTCGCTAGGGTCATCTAGGGTGCTTTCCTGGTTTCTTTCAGCGGCACCCTGACCCTGTTTCCCGGTAGCCCTGGAGGCGACTTCAGGGGTGACCGTGAGAACCGGGACCGTCCCAAAGGAAAAGGGCGAGGAGGAGGCCGGCAGCCCTGCGGCTTGTGCGGCATTTGCTTGAAGGGTGCCGAGTCCTTGCGGAGGCAAGGGGAAAGTTCCCATGGCAGACGTGGAGGATCTCATCGAACAGGTGGGGGTACAAGTTCCAACGTCGTAGCTCTGCGCTCTCGGACCGTACATAGACGCACTGCCAGTCTTCCATGATGGGAGGCACTAGCTGGCCAAGAAGGCCCGCTCAAGGCTGCGAACTGCTTCAAACGACGGGTTTGTTTTAATTCAAATGCAGAGAGCTAATAGCAGATTGTTTGTGTCCCTCCAAAACTACGAATTTGTACGTGCACCAATGATGGTCGGGAGTTCATTCGTCACTGCATGTTTGTGCCGACGCAGATTCATGTCGTGGGGTGGCAAGCTACAACAACCAGAGTTGAGGACCTTCAAACTGTAAAACAAACGTTTGCATGGTGGAAAGCAGAATCCGAGTTCAAAAGATGGTGCTGTTGCTGACGTGCAGAAAGCTGCCGAAAACGGAGCTGTTCCGCACCCATAGTGTTGGCGTCGTATTTCTTGCACACGCACAAGGCCTGCACAAGGCTTTTCCGCTGCCTTGACATCCATGCCGCCTGTTCTGATCGGAGGTCCCGACAGTTGGCAGTTCCTTGAGTAGCCTGCTTCAGGTCAGCGACTTCGACTTCACGGCCAAAAAGTTCGTGGCTGAGTGCAGATCTCAGATATTTCCGAATGTGCCTGACTGGTACCTGAGATGGCCCTGCTCGCCAGGCTGCACAATCGTGACCGAGCAGATGGCGGGTCGCGGTTTCAGGAGGCAACACTGGACAAGACCTACCACGGAATCCAATTGATCGAATCTCACGATTTCCTTCTCGCCACAGGGACAAAGGCAGAGCTTGTAAGAATTTCATTGACTAGTACTCAAACACACACGGCCTCACTGGCTCGGCTGTCCATTGGGATGCCTGCCTCGTCATCCTGGGTAGCGGGCCTTGCGCAGGTGAGGGCTATCTGTGCAGCTGACAGCAGACGACTTGAACGTGGACTTAAGTCATAGCGGGGCGACAACCTACGAGCTGCTGGCTAGCAGACCTAGCATCGACACAACAACATGAACTCGCAGAGTGAGTGAGATCGGCCATACAGAATGATCAGTTGCTCCTGGAGGCCATGGACATGATTTTGAAGTACACCTCTTCCAAGGACATCCGATTTGTCACACAGCTGTCTGTTGTACACACTTTCTACGGTTGGCTGACGAAGGACAGAAGTTCCGTTAGAAAGTGGCCTGCGTACGTGTTCACACTCCTACAAAAGGCTGCCATCGGAGTTTTCAGCAATTGACAACAAACATGTGTGGCAAGTTTTGGTGCCTGATTTGCGATGGGCTTGTGGTTCTGCGTCGGCTTTTTCGCATCTTGCCAGTTTGATCCAGCGCTCGGCGAAGAGATGCGAGAGAGAGATCAGGACTTTATGCTTGCGCGGTTTGAAAACACCTGCAGAGCGTCGAAATCTGTATGTTGCAGGAACGACGCCAAAAGGCAGCAGAAGCCTTTACAGTGTAGCTTCACAAACGCACAGATCGTAAACTTGAAAACGTGCTTGGCATTCCTGCTGTCCAGGGCTCTGGATTTCGCCGTCCTCGTCCTGCTCATGAGGCACTGACTTCTCAGAGCACGTAAGAACCGGTCCGCGTGTTTTGAGTTTTACCTTTCATGAGTGCAGGAAGATGATGGCTGAGTGTGGGAAGGTGCTTCCACAATGAATCTTGTTCTTGGGAGCCGCTGAAGTGCAGTAGCAGCGCATACAGATGAAGCATCTAGTTATGGCCCAGCTATGGCCCAAACACGATGGCTACCGGCGACGCTGCATTCGCGTGCCCCGTCCGTTCCAGAGGTCTCACTTGAGGTGTTAGCGTAGTAAGGGACAGGAGGAGGGCAGGAGTGAAGCCTCAATGTCGACGAAAAAAATGCAACTAGCGTGGCCGCTCTGATGTCGGTGGGTGCTGACCTGGCCGGAGTAGTGCTGCTTCTGTAGTCGTATTGGTAGGTTACTAGCCGATGAAGAACTCAACAAGGATTGATTGGTTCTTGACGGGGTCCTATGCTCAGTGACTCGACTGTTTTGAGTAGTCAGTAGACTTGACTTGCTTTTTTTGACGTGCGGTTGATTTCTGTTTCGTAATTGCATTTCGGCCTGAGGTTTCCTTAGTTCGCAAGTATGGGTGGGTTATAGCCAGGAAGCTATCGTCCTGTAGACAGGTTTCCAAATATTGACAGTCCCAGAGTTCGTGTCTCAAAGCGCGGAACTTTCGGCGAGTGTTGACTGTGGAGTCGAGCATAGTAAAGTGCAGTATTCGCCGGCTTTGCCAAAACATGAAGACGACATTGTCGTTGTTATTGTTGCTCTTCCTTTTTGCGTTTGCCGACGGTGGCCTGCAGGACGGATCCTTGCTGACAGAGGAACCATGGGAGGGCAAGGCGTTGGACCGGATTGATTTCGGACAATTCATTCCGAAAGATATCCGACGGACCGGGCACGACACTGCCATGGCTCCAGAAGACGTTTATTCTGCGCCTTACTATCGCAGCAACGTCGACTGGTCCGTGGTGGAAGAAAATGCTGCCCAAGAAGGGTTTGCTCGGGTATTGCCCATGGAGGAGCCAGACCCCATTTTCGATGGCGATTATGAGCCCACGGGCGACCACCCAAGGTGGTTCCAGAACGGCCCCTAGATTTAGAAGCCGACATCGAGGAGCCTGGGACGTCAAAGAAAAAAGAGGCAAGCGAAGAAGGCGTTCTTTTGGACCTCGACTTTGAGGATCCCTTCGCCAGCTTGTTTCTTGATCGCGAGGAAAAGAAGCACGAGAAGGATCGACCCGGAGATGAGGAATTCGAGGTCCTTGACATCACCGGTGATGGTGCTTGCCTCTACCGTGCTCTTTTCCTCGGCATGCAGCTCCTGTCGGGAATCCCACGTCACAAGCTTGAGGACTGATGTTGTGAAAGATGGGACTAGGGCAAGGAAGTATACCTTCTTGATGCAAGAGTGACAGGACCCGAGGACTGCTGTGCAAGAGCTGCGGGAGGACGTTTGTGATGCTATGCACAGCTGGACGGATTCCCTCCCGCAAGCGCCATTCAACGAAGTGGCGCAATCGTTGGCCTGGGACGCCCGTCAAACTCATTGTCGTGTGCAAGGGCTTGTGTTGCGAGTATTGTAAACTAGAGCCGACACCAGGTAAGAAAGACACATGCTCCGCAAACCAAGGAAATGCGGGATGATCCTGCTTGGGTGGAGACCTATGGGGATCATTTCAGTTGGCATGAGTATTGGTCTTGGGCCAAGAAGCCCGGGACCTATGGAACTTTCGCCAATATTTCCTCCTTTTGCCGCTTTCGCAGCATCTCCGTAGACGTTTACGCCCTGCTTGTTGTGTTAAGATAGTCAGTCGGTTGCCCGTGCTCTGTGACCGAGAAATACATGAAACCTTCCATTTGTGTTCAATATTCAATGATGGCCGATGATGTCCGCGATTGGACCAAGAAGTTATTCGATCTCCTAATCAGTGTGGGCGAACGCTTGCTCGATATTTCAAGCGGTAAGCGGGCATTAATTTCACTAGTGCATTTTTTTAAACCATTTGTTACCCGATAATGAATAATAATATTAGTAAATACAAAGCAATGGAAGACATGCGATATTGGCCGATATGGATTTCCAAGTTTACAGTCTTCGGGGATTGGGGCGTGCAGATTAAATACGAAGAGATCGGCGCATGGCTGGGAAAGTGAAATTTGACACGGAGAATGAATCGAAAATGTTTTAGTTTTTTGAATTATGAATAATATTCTTATAATATTATGAATATTTTCGATTCAAATTGAAGATGTGAAATCTGGTTTGTTTGGAAGTTTGGCAAGGAAAATTTGATGCGTAGGAATGTTTTCTTGCGACTTCAGGAGTAGAGGAATATGATGTACTATGATATGTAAGGAGAAGATTGTTATTATGTTTCGAATTACTAGTAGTTCAAGTAGTTATACCAATATTTAGTGGGACTTGCACTAGTAGTAGTAGTGGTAGTGGTACTAGTAGTAGGAGTAGGAGTAGTAGTAGTAGTAATAGTAGTATTAGTCGTAGCAGTAGCAGTAGTAGTAGTTGTTGTTGTAGGAGTAAGAGTCGGAGTAGGAGTAGGCGTTGGCATGGGCGTAGGAGTAGGCGTAGGCGTGGGCGTAGGAGCAGGAGTTGGAGTAGGCGTAGGAGTGGGAGTGGGCGGAAGTGACAAGGAAGTAGTAGTGGTTGTGGTAGGAGTTGGAGTCGGAGTGGGAGTAGGAGTAAAAATGGGAGTAGGAG